TCACACACACACACACACACTCACACACTCACACACACACTCACACACACACTCACACACTCACACACACACACTCACACACACACTCACACACACACACACTCACACTCACACACACACTCACACACACTCACACACACACTCACACACACTCACACTCACACACACACTCACACACACACTCACACACACTCACACACACACTCACACACACTCACACTCACACACACACTCACACACACACTCACACACACTCACACACACACTCACACACACACTCACACTCACACACACACACACACACTCACACACACTCACACACACACACTCACACTCACACACACACACACACACTCACACACACTCACACACAGACACACACACTCACACACACACACACACTCACACACAGACACACACTCACACTCACACACTCACACACACTCACACACACACTCACACACACACACTCACACACACACACACACTCACACACTCACACTCACACACACACTCACACACACACACTCACACACACACACTCACACACTCACACTCACACACACACACACACTCACACACACTCACACACAGACACACTCACACACACTCACACACAGACACACACACTCACACACACACACACACTCACACACAGACACACACTCACACTCACACACTCACACACACTCACACTCACACACACACACACACACTCACACACACTCACACACAGACACACACACACACACACACTCACACTCACACACACACACATACACTCACACACACTCACACACACTCACACACACACACTCACATACACACACACACACTCACACACTCACACTCACACACACACACACACTCACACACACTCACACACAGACACACTCACACTCACACACACACACTCACACACAGACACACACTCACACTCACGCACGCACACACACACTCACACACACACTCACACACACACACTCACACACACACACACACAGTCACACTCACACACACTCACACTCACACACACACTCACACACACACACACACTCACACACACACACACACACTCACACACACACACACACTCACACTCACACACTCACACACACACACCCCGCACCCCCACCTCGGCCCCCTAGGGCGGGGGGGACCTCCGCTGACCCCTCCTCACCGCCTTCCCAGCCGGCACCTGGGCACCTGGTATCCAACCGCCGCCAGGAATCCGCCCGGAGGGAAGGGGGACCCAGGGGAATGGAAGTGAACTCCGCCCGCCGTGGGCAGCGTCTCCCTCCCGCCCCCCCTCCCCGGGCTGCGGTGCATACAGCGCTCCCCTCGGTCCGCGGGGCAGCCGGGGGCATTGGAGCGGGGCCGGGGGCGGGAGGGGGGCGGGAGGGAGCTAACGGCAGCCGCTGGCAGTTACTCACATGCTCGTCCCGGGCCAGGATCCCGATGACCGATGACCGGGGACACGGTGGTGGCGAGAAGGATGAGAGGACGGAGCCCAGCACTGGCGGACGCTCGGTCAGATGGAGGGATGGCGCCCAGCGGGACGGAGCACCTCACATCTGTCCCCAGGCCTGGGGGGCTGTGTGGCTGTGAGAGGGCGATGCCCAGGAAAGATGTGCCCAGGCCAAGCTTAGCCTCCCTCCCGAGGCTGCTCAGACCTGCCGGCCGCACCTGAGGCCGCCACGGATGCTCCTGTTTCACTTGGTAAAAGGCCTTTGGCAGGCCCGGCGCTCGGCCGGGCAGGAAGGGGCCCCCACATTGGCCAGGATGCTGCAGCGGGAGGTCTGACACTGAGCACAGGGACGGCCAGAAAGCCGGACAGAACTGGAGTGCACCAGAGCTGAGGAGATAATTGGGTAGAACACATGCCCTCCCCTCCCTTTCCCCGTAAGAGCCGCGGGCTTGGCCTGACAGGTGTGGCTCAGCAGATGGAGCGCCCGCCTGCAGGCGGAGGGGCCGGGTTTGATTGTGGTCACGGGCATGCACCTCGGTTGTGGGCACATCCCCAGTGGGGGGAAATTGATTGCATTCCTTGGTCCATTAATAACCATGTGTACTGCATCAGCACATCTCATTCTCCAAGCTGGCTTGTCCTCACTTCTTTTTAAGTATATGTTTATTGATTTCTGAGAGGGAGAGAGAAACATCAATGATGAGAAAATCATTGATCCGCTGCCTCCTGCACGGCCCTACTGGGAATCAAGCTTGCAACCTGCGCATGTGCCCTCGACCAGAATCAATCCCAAGGCCTTTCAGGCCACAGGCTCTGTCCGCTGAGTTAAACCAGCGAGGGCTGCTCTCACTTCTTAAATGCACACTATCATTTTAATAAATTTACTGAGCACTGCTAAAAAAAAAAAAAAAAAAAAAAGTGCTCCCTGGCCCACCTTGGCCTGCCTCCTGGCCTGGCCCAGAGGCCCCCACCCAGAGGTCAGGCTGGAGCTGCTGCCAGGTAGAAGTGTGATCCATGAAGATGGGGCAGATGGTCCTCAGGGCAGCAGAAGAGAGAGCCTTTTCACAGGCGTCACCCCATTGCTTCCATCACCTCAGGGCCTGTGATACCCAAAACATTTCCAAAACCAATGGACACCACCGTGCATGAACCCCTCAAAGAAATGGCCTTGCCAAGTCTCCCCAGGCCATCCCCTCAAAATAAAGTCCAAGCTCCTTACCCCACACGCAGCCCTTTCCCTACATTCTGCTCCCCTGGCACAACCTCCCAGCCCCCTGTCCTGTGTTCCGGGTCTGGCCCTGGCCCCGCCCCAGGGAGGATTCACTGCACAGTTCTCCCCAGCCCCCAGCTGCTGGATTCTGCTTTGCCAGTTAGGGGCTCTGCTGGACTGGGACCCTGAGGGACCACATGCATTCACTCCCAGGCCTTCCAGTTAGCCAACTGGTGAATGAACAGGAAGTACTTTTCCTTATTTGTCCTCGACGTGCCACTGTCAGAGACACAAAGGATGCACTTTTAGTGCCTTTATTACAGCATGTAGTACCCAAACATCTCCTTCATGACATGGGGTTCTAGATCAGCAGTTCCCAGTGTGGGCTGCAAGCCCCACTAGGGGGCAATTTGATTTTCTTAAAAAAATATATTTTATTGATTTTCTTACAGAGAGGAAGGGAGAGAGATAGAGAGCTAGAAACATCCAAGAGAGAGAAACATCGACCAGCTGCCTCCTGCACACCCCCTACCGGGGATGTGCCTGCAACCAATGTACATGCCCTTGGCCAGAATTGAACCTGGGACCTTTCAGTCCGCAGACCGACGCTCTACTGCTGAGCCAAACCGGTTTCGGCAGGCAATTTGATTTTTAAGGGGGGCAACTCGAGAATGAGTTATTAAGTGAACTATTTTGTGCATTTCTTATGGTCCTAGGAGCCTCATATACAGAATATAAATATATATTTGTGACACATTTATGCATTTCATTTCTCCGTTACAGCAGTTGCCAACAAGTGGTCTGTGAGGTTGGCGACCACTGCTCTATTATGTTTTGAAACTTTGCTATTTTCTTTTTTTTAAAATATATTTTCTTGATTTTTTGCAGAGAGGAAGGGAGAGGGACAGAAGGTTAGAAACATTGATGAGAGAAAAACATCAGCTGCCTCCTGCACATGCTCTACTTGAGATGTACCCACAACCAAGATACATGCCCTTGACTGCAATTGAACCTGGGACCCTTCAGTCTGCAGGCTGATGCTCTAACCACTGAGCAAAACCAGCCAGGACATATTTGCTATTTTTTTTCATATCAATTATTTTAAATGTTTTTATTGATTTCAGAGAAGTAGGGAGAGGGAGAGACAGAAATATCAATGATGAGAGAGAATGATGAGAATCATTGGGCTGCTTCCTGCATGCCCCCAACTGGGGATCAAGCCCACAACAAGGCATGTGCCCTTGACTGGAATCCAACCTGAGACCCTTCCGTCCGCAGGGACTCAGTGAGCCAAACCAGCCAGAAATTGTTTATAACAATTTCCTAGCGATTTCTTCCTCAGTAGGTCACCTGTCCTTTCATTCTTTTATTTTACTCTTTCATGGATGCCATGTTCTATGGAAGCCTGCTTACACCAAGTTAATGGGCCTTCAGGCTTCCTCCACGTGCATAGGAGTCACTTTTTCAATAATAAGAATTCTATGTCACAGGAGGCATCAGGATTTTAGAGATGCTTAGGTGGGGCGTGGCCAAAAGGAGGTTGGGAACCCCTGCTCTAGATCCTTCTCAGGCTCAAATCATTGTCCGTAACCCTTGCTCCTGGGAGAGGAGCCCTCCAAGCCCTCATTGCATCCCTTCAGCCCCACAACCAGTATTAAGGCTGGTTCTTGCCAGGCGCTGACTGCCAGGGCCCAGGCCGCGGTGGGAACGCGGTGCATCCCCGGTGGACGTTAAACAAAATCACCGCACACTCAGCCCTAAGGTGCGGGCCCGTGAGGGTCCAGGGTCTGCCCAGATCCCTGCGTCACAGCCCAGGGGCCGGGGTCCCATCACCCACGTGCCCAGCGGAGCCTTCTCCACTCCTGAGACGCGGCCAGAAGGGAGCCCGGAATTTTGGAGACCATTGAGCCACCAGCCCCGGGCTCGCCCGCCGGCCGGCTCAGTCTTCCCATGACGACTGCAGTTTCCCACCGCGGGCGCCGCACGGACAGGCCGACCAGCTGGCGCCGCGCTCCAGGGGGGCCTCGGGCAGCCAGGCCCGGCTTGGCCCGGAGCCGGGCGGGGCGGGGCCAGGAAGTGGGCCTGGGCGGGGCCGGGCCTGGGCGGGGCCTGACGGGGCGGATCCTGATAGGGGCGAGACCTTAGTGGGGCGGAGCCTGATGTGGGGCGGGGCCTTACGGGGCGGATCCTGATAGGGGCGGGACCTTAGTGGGGCGTGGCCTGGGCGGGGCGAGGCTTGGAAGGGCCTGAACAGGCTTCCGTGCTCTTGGGAGCGACCTCCAGACCGAAAGCCACGGCCGCCGCGGGATCAGGGACGCGGCTATGGGTGAGGACACCCAGTCCGGGCGCCCTTAGGCCGAGTGGGATGGGGAGGCCCCTCGCGCGCTGCCACCCGCCCACCACTCACAGGGACCCGGAGGGCGAGAAGGGGGTTCGCCGCCCTCCCTCGCGTCCCGTCTCCCAGCCGGGCCGGCGGGGTGGTTGGTGGGCGGACCCGGGTCCCGTTAGAGAGTGAAGCTCCCGGGAGTTCAGGGGCCGCAGGACCCCCAGCCCCGTGGGAGGGCAGCAGGGTGCAGGGGCCGCCGGGGCGGTGGAGCAGCCGCAGCGGCAGCGCTGAGAGCGGGTCCTGCGCTGAAGCCTGGCTCCAGCTCTCCCTCCTGTGACCTTGGGCCGCACCTGCCCTGCCTCAGTTTCCCGGTCTGCGGAGGGAGGGTTCTCAACATGAAGAACCAACCTTAATATTTGTGTGGCTGAACGGATGAATGTCCAACTTACGGGGAAGATGTGGGCGATGGGCCCCTTCATCTTACCTGAGCTCAGTAAAGACCCAGGAAATGTTGCCCATTATTAACATTATTATTATTACTGTTTTCTCCGGTTTCCAGAAAAGGACACCGAGGCTGGGTTTTCATAACTTTCCCTAGGTTGCACAGACAACAAGTGGCAGAGCCCACAGCTAGCCAACCCCCAGACTATTCTAGAAAGTTCTGTGGTGAAGCCCTTCCAAGGTTTTCCTCAATCAGTGACCCAGTTTTTATCTTCCCTGCCTGTGGGGATCCCCACGCTCACCTCCGGGTGCCCACCTCAGGGTCCCTGCCTGTCACCTCAGGGGCCAGCACAGGAGTCCTAAGTATCACAGGGGTGAGGGGCTGTGCCCAGACCAAGGGCTCAGAGTGGGCTCCAGGACTGAGCTGATGCTCCTTCAGGTCTGTTCTCTGAGCTGAAGATGGCTGTGCCCTGGGGCCACATCGCCAGCAAAGCCTGGGGCTCCCCGAAGGGCACCTCGGTTCTCTGCCTGCACGGCTGGCTGGACAATGCCAACACCTTCGACACACTCATTCCTCTCCTCCCAAGAGGTGGGCTGGGCTGGAGGGGGGCCAGGGGCAGCGCTGGGGGGAGTGAGCAGGAGAGAGGCCGAGTCAGACACCTCTCCGCCCTCTTCCCTCCATCCCAGACTTTTACTACGTGGCCATGGACTTCGGGGGTCACGGGCTCTCCTCCCATTACAGCCCAGGTCTTCCCTATCACTATCAAAACTTCGTGGGTGAGATCCGGAGGGTCTCGGCAGGTGAGTAAGGGGCAGTGTGTGTTGGGGAGCAGGGGCACCCCCTCTCACTGGGGAGTGAGTGTGGTAGTCAGGAAGCAAGGCAGGCCTGGGGGTGACCTGTGTCAGGCCCCAGCTCTGCCCGGATCCATGGTGACAGGGAAGCTGGAGGAGGCAGGCAGGAGGACTCACTTCCTCCTGCGGGGACCCTCCCTGCAGTGCAGCAGGCCCCTTAGCCTGGTCTGCTGAGAGGGGCGCCCCAGGGGCTAGGACAGAGGTGGGGAAGGCTGGCCCCCCAGACCTGGCTCTGTGCTTTCAGCCTTGAAATGGGATCGCTTTTCCATCATGGGCCACAGTTTTGGTGAGTACACTGGCCTGGACCCGCTGGGCTCCTGTGGTGGGCTGCGAGGGAGGGGGAGGAGTTGGTACTCTGGGCCCTTTGCCCTGCACTTCTGGGAACTTCAAGGGAAATGAAGGGGTTCACTCAACACTGACCTTTGGATCTGTGGCCTCTGGGCTCAGGCACATATGGCCCCGTAGGTAGTTGTTTTCCAATTTGAAACAATATATTCTTATTGATTTCAGACAGGGAGAGAGAGATAGAAATGTCAATGACAGAGAATCATTGATCGGCGGCCTCCGACACGCTCCCCCTCTCTCCCTTCCACTGGGGATCGAACCCAGGCTTGTTCCCTGACTGGGAATGGAACCCTGACCTCCGGGTTTATAGGTCAACAGCCAACCACTGAGCCATGCCGGCTGGGCAGTTGTCTCCCAATTTGATGAGGAAGCACGGCCCCTGGGTGGTCAGGTCTGATGAAGGCTGGTCCCAGGGAGGGAGCCCAAGTTTGACAGCAAACACGGAGCCCTCTCACGGGTGGGAGGAGCTGGAGGAAGGTGAGGGTTGTGATTGCTGGGCAGCACAGCCCACTGCCCTTCTGTCTCCTAGGTGGCACTGTGGGCGGAATGGTGAGTAGAAGGCTTTGCAGTGACCACCTCGGCCACCCTGGCTGCTCCTCCAAGTGGGGTGCGGAGAGCAGGAGGCGGAAGAAGTTACCTGGCACAGGAAGGGCCCCTTGGGGTCACCAGTTGTGGACCAGCGTTTGTTAGCTATGCCAGCTGGCTTTGTAGATCCCAGCAGGAATCACTTGGCCAAACAGGAACCTGGACACAGCTACCCTCGGGGCTTGGAGCTGGGAGCTGGGAGCTGGGTGCTGGGTGCGGACTGGTTGGGCAGGGGAGAAGGTGCCCTGAGGGATAGCTCTGGTTCTGTCTGGCCTCTCGGTCAGCAGCCTTGCCCCAGCCTGAGAGACGTTTCAGGAAACACCAGGGAAAAGTATGAGTCCCTCTCCCTTCCAGTTCCTCTCCTCCTCATTCTTCCCTTTTTGTGTCGCACCATAGTTTGCCTGCATGTTCCCCGAGATGGTGGATAAACTTATCTTGCTGGACTCAAGCCCTTTTGCACTGGACTCTAATGTAAGGACGGGGCTGTCATGGGACCTGGGCACTGTCTCCTTTGGTGGGTAGCAGGGAAGTGGGGTGGGGGAGTGGCAGAGGGTAGATAAGAGGAATCCACCTCAACCTCCCTCCCTCTCTCTCTGTCTCTGTCTCTCTCTCTTTTACACACACACACACACACACACACACACACACACACACAATGGAGCTATGCTGCAACACTGCTTCTGGTGGGGAGGAAAAGGAACATGGTGACCTTTGTTATTAGATTTGGAAACCCCGTATATGTCCTGGGATCTGCAAATGCCCAGCCAGCCCTCCAAGGGGTGGGACAGAGCAGGAGCCGTGAGTGAGGAAGCTCTGGGACACACCGGCTGGCCAGCCTGCTGTGCTCACACTCAGCCAAATGCCTGTGTGCCCTGACACAGGACGCAGCAGCCCTGGGTGTGCACTGAGGGGGAATGTGCTGACCCCTCCGCCACTGCCACCAGTGGCAGCAGCCAGTGCTGACCTGCATCTGAGCCCTGGCCCTGCCACATGCCTGCTGTGTGACCCTGGGCAGTCCCTTCACCTCGCTGGGCCTCAGTGTCCTCGGCTGTTCACAAGGAGGAGGGCGGGCCCTGGCCGTGTGACTCGGTTGTGTGGAGCATTAGTGCATACACAGAGGATCGTGGCCAGTTGCTCGGAGCCCTGGACGCACCCTGCAGCTCTGACATTGCTCTGCTCTGAGGGCTCTGCTTCGGCTGTGGCACAATTCCTTGGTCAGCTCCAGTGTGCTTGTTTGCTCAGTGACCATAAACCCCTTAAGGGCAGGAACCATGGTGTCCTTGCTATCGCCACTCGCCCATCCGGCACAGCCAGTGCTCAGGGAGCGTTCGCTGCTAACCCGCGGGCGTCCTGAGGGCCCATGAGATGGGTGGCTGTGCTCTCGCTGTTTGATCTGCTCCGCCCGCTGAGGACACAGACATGGTGCCCGGGCTGCTGAACGCTTGTCCTCCTGTACTCTCAGAGTTACCCCCTCTCCCCACTGCTACCCCAGGCCCTTCCCAGGGCTACACTCAGGGGCAAGCTGGAAAACACGGAGCTCCATCTCCAACCCCCATGCCCCGCCGCCACCAGTCTCCCACTGCCACCATTTGGTGACAGCAGTTCTGAACCAGATGAATGCTGGTTGAAGCGTCATTCCCACCACTGGCTGGTTCCTGCTTTATGGCCCTTTACCCGAGATGTTCCCTCCATTGTCCAAGCTGCCCCTCCAGCTGTCATCGGAACCGAGGTCCCCCTCTCTGCACCCCGTCCCCACCACAGGCAGCTGGGCCAGTGTGGCCAGGCCGGGAGCTGCCCTGAGTCCAGGGCTCACTAGCAGGCCAGTCCTGCGCACACCCACACTGGGTCAGAAGGCATCCCCAGGGGCTGCTGAGGGCAGAGCCTGGGCTGGGGGTACAGGGGTACAGGCCCTTCGCCTACATGGGTGGGTGCTGCCCAGAGAACTCTGAATATTTAGGAGCTGGAGAACCTGCTGACCTACAAGCGGAAGGCGCTAGAGCACACCCTGCTGCTGGAGCAGGCCGCCAAGGAGCCCTCGCGGGTGCTCAGCCCGGAGGAGATGCTGCAGAGGTGGGTGCCATGGGTGCCATAGGGAGACGGGTTGGGAAACCAATGGGAGGACATGGAGGGAGCCAAAAACGGGGCCAGAGGAAAAAGCTTCAGTGGCAAGTCCACACCAAGCCTGCTTCTCTCTGTGCCCACTGGGTCCTCAGGCTCCCTGGCACCATTGCAACTGCATCTGCCTCTCATCCTCCCCTGCACAGCGAGTCCCCGCTTTCCCCTTGCTCACTCTCCCCTTCAGCACCTCTGCTCCCCCTGCGCCCTGCCCGACCTGTCCTGGCACCTGGCTCACTGCCCTCCTCCTCTGGGCCTCAGCCAGATGGCACTTCCTCTGGCAGCCTGTCCTGACCCCTGCGCCTGCAGGGCTGGCACATCTGTGCCTCCAGCACCTGTCCGGCCGGGGCGGCAGGGCCCCGTGAATATTTGGTGTCTGAGGAATAGGAACACCCACCCCAAAGGGGGTGAACACGCCCTGCACCCGCCTGCGCCCTTGCGGGGCGGCCTCCCTTTCCCTGCCCTCTCTCCTTCCCATCAGCCCCCCTGACCCAAGGCAGCCAGCAGCCTCCGTCTCCCCAGGTTCCTGAAGAATAACAGTCACGTGGGCGAGCAGTGCGGGAAGCTGCTGCTGCAGCGGGGAGCCACCCAGGTGCCCACAGGTAAGCGCTCACCGCCCCAGCCGCTCCTGGGCACTGCTCCTGGCGAGGAGCCATGATGACTGACCTTGTCTTAGACCAGGTGTGACCCTGGGTGCTGTGCGAGTAGGATCTCAGTTACTGCCCCACTGCCCTCTGCTCAGCCTGTTGGGAGCAGGAGAAACTGAGGCTGGAAAGGCGCAGGGACTTATGCCATAACACAGAGCTGCTCACCCGAGGTCGCTCCTGCAGGGGCATGGGCAGGCTCTCGGGACAAACGCTGTGCGGGCGCTGGTGGTGGGTGCCCGTGTCTGAGGCCAGGCTTTGAGGGTGTCCTGGGGCTGAGTGGCTTCAACAGGTTTCCAAACGGAGAATGGAGTTGATGCAGCGCCGGCCCGTGTTGTCTGCTTCCCGTGAAGATCCTTCAGGAAACTGCTGAAGGGACACGTGGGACTTGGGTTGGAAAGTTTGTAAGGAGGACGCTCTGAGAAAAGTGATGTGAGCGAGCGGAAGGCGCCTGCCTTTTATGGAATTCTGACCTAGGGGAGACTCCCCCTGATGGTTCCTTGGCCTTCCCAAACTAGTCTGTGCACGTGCAGGTCCAGGTGTTTACTGGAAACCTTAGGCTTCATCCGCAGGTGCCCTTGCCTAGAGGACAGTGTAAGCACATGTGCCCGCCCAAGATCACTCGCCCACTAATCGTATCTACCACGAAAATCCCAATGAAGGCTAAGCAGGCGGGCAATTGAGGCTGCAGGGCTGCTGTCAGGCCGGCCCTTAGCCCTCCCCCGCAGTGTCCATGTGATGGAGTCATCTGCTCATCCGTGGTGCAGGGGCTGCTGGTCAGCCTGGAGGAAACCTCTCTGGAGAACTTTGTGTCCACCCCGAGCCAGCCGAATGGGACTCCAGCTTACAAGCACTGAGTGGCCAAGAAGCAAAGCCCTGGGTGCTGGGCACGTTGGGGAGTTAATTGGCTGCTGGGAGAGAGGAGATGGGGGTGAGGGCTGTGGAACTGGCCCAGCCCGTTGTTCTTATGGGAGGAACTGGGGCTCAGTCTGGCCAGAATTTTCAGTTGCTCAAGAGAAGCCAGAGGCCTGTTCCCTTATATTCTTTTCCAGAAATTTCAAAACCAGAGGTCAAACGGACTGGAAAGGACAAAGCATTGTCTGACCTCGGCTTCCAGTCTGACCTGTTGGGGGATGATCAGGTGCCATTGAGCCTCTGCCTGGAACCTCCCTGCAGATCCTCCTGGAAAGAGGGACCGAGGGCAGAGGGCCTGGGCCAGGCTCCCTGATGTGCCCACGCAGATGCAAGGCCCGGGGCCCCTGGAGCAGCAGTGGGTAATCGGGATGCATGGAGACGATTAGGCCAGGCCAGGGTCACATGCAGTGATGAGCACAGACTCTGATTTGGGTGATGAGGAGGGGGTTGTAGAGGAGGAAGGTGGAGGGGCAGTTGCTGGACCAGAGTGTTGGGACCAGCCCCTCTGCAGTGGTTGTGGCCCTTTGGGCCCCTGGTTAACCTAAAAGAAGTCGGAGCAGGTTCCCAGATGCCACTGGCACAGGATGGTGACATTGGGGGAGCTACTACCCTCTCTCTCCCAATCCTGAGACCATGATAGCAACCATCTGTCTTGGAGCAGGGCAGGGGACTGGGATGCCTCCATCACTGGACCTGACCTGTATACTCTGTTCACAGCGTAGGGCTGCTGTTACCAATTCCACAGACTGGGCGGCTTACCTCTCAGTTCTGGAGGCCAGAAACCCAAGGTCAGGTGCTGGCAGGGCTGTGACAGACTGTGGACGGCTCTTTCCAAGCTCTCTGGTGGCCCTTGGCTGTGCGCACTCTCCCTTGGAGAGGCCAGCGCTAGCTGGATGCAGAGTATGGTGGCCACGGAGAGGCGCAGGGGTGGGCGGAGCTTGCAGTGAGACCTTCAGGCAGAAGGGGCGGGGCTGGCCTCCTGGAGAAGGTGACTTTTCAGCAGAGCAAAGCAGTTGCAGGTGAGGGCTTGGTCACAGGACATCCAGGAGGGAGGTGGCCCCTGAGGAGAGGTCCCAAGCCTGTGGGAGAAGCAGCGGGCTGTGAGCAGGGGGAGGGCAGGTCCCTGACTACCTTCTTATCTTCCTTCTGCCTGGGATGGCCTAGGCCTCTGGGAACAGATGCAGGGATTGGCCTGAAGGGGAGAACCCAGCTCTGGTTCCCTAGTGACCGAAGCCCCGCCCACAGGCTACGTGGCCCTGGGGTTGCAGGCAGGGTTGGTTTCGCTCATGTAGTTAGAACCCCCAAATTTGGCCTGGAGGGGATTTTGAACAGGTTGTTCATGTATGAAACAGAAAGGTTTTGTGTAAAAATGGAATTCCCAGTTCCTGTAGAAAAATGGGGAGACCTGGCAACACTGCGTTTCCCACGGCAGCAGCTGCTGGCAGGGCCCGCCCCCACGTGAGTGGCACTGATGGCCAGAGTCTGCGAGCTTGGCCTTGGCAGGCCCCCCACAGGAATAGAGAGGAAACGGGTGGAAGGATTTCTGAGGTTTATTCTCTTACCTTTGAACTTGGGCCTCCTTAGCAGTCAGAAGCCTCTGCCCGGGCCTGCTGGCTGGGGTGGGGACACTCCCAGGCCCCCTGGTCCTGTCTGCTCCCAGCAGGGCTGCAGCAGGGACCTCAGGGCCACAGGCCCCTTCGCTTGCAGATGAGGAAACTGAGGCCAGAGAGGGAGGGCCCAGGGCTTCCTTCCCACTTCAGATGCTCACACAAGGATCTGTCGCCCTGTACTCCGATCTAATGGCTGGAACTGGTGTTCCCTCACCCTCGGGTTCAATAATTTCCTCGAATGGCTCAGAGCTCAGGAAGATGTTTGCCCACCCCGGGTTCACTGTGGAGGTCACAGCCCGGCCCGGTCAGATGGCAGCTGTGTGGGCCACGGCTGGGGCTCACAGACCTGCCCCCTCCCGCACCCACGCTGCTCCCGGGCCTGCCTCTCGGGTCAGGAAGTTTCACCCCACAGGCGGGACTGACTGACTGGATCCCCAGCCTCCCTGTCCCTGGAGCCCAGCTTCATCTCTCAGGGACCCTCCCTCCCGTCACCCAGGAAACTCCAGGGCGGGCCTTGTCAGGAACGGGGCTCACAGACCACATATCAGGACAAAAGAGGCTCCTCACAGAGTTTAGTTTCTTTGCTTTCTAAACCGCCACAGGAAGTTCTACAATGTGGTGGGTACTGATGGACGGATGCATTCATGGGTCGATTGATTTTTTAGTTTTTGAAAAAGTAATTTTAGAGAGAGGGGAAGGAGACATTGATTTCTTGTTCCACTTATGCATTCATTGGTTGGTCCTTGTATGTGCCCTGAGCGGGGATTAAATCCACAAACTTGGCAAAACCAGACCACCTCTAACCAGCTGAGCTACCCTACCTGGCCCTCCCTGCAGCCATTTCTCCAGGGGACGTTGCCAGGTGCGGCTTAGCGTGGCATCCGCCCTCCTGGTGAGCCCGAGCTGCCCACCTTCGGGACTGCGGCCGAGAACCCTCGCCAACCTCTGGGCCCCTCCAACCTTCCTTTGGGCTCCTTTTCTCTTGGACGAGGGGCGGTGATGGTTCACTGTGGGGACGTCATGGTGTGTGGGTCACTTAACGTCCTCGGAGGCTCTGAGGCCAGGAGGGAGTTGTTCCTACGTCCATCCAGGGAGGCACCGGGCGACCACGTGGCTCGTGGTCCGGTGGTGGTGGATGAGCTCTGCCCCAGCTGAACCCTAAGGGGCGGTTCGGGGCGGTCCCTGCCAGGCCAGGCTGAAGGAGTGAGCCCTGGCGGGAGGGCCAGGCTCCCAGGGCAGAGGGGCGAGGCCGCCCCCCTGACGGCACCATCTGCTTCCCTCCCAGGCCTGGTGCTGAACAGAGACCGGAGGATCGCCCTGGTGAGTGCTGCCTTCCCTCCCTTCCCGCTCTGGCGGCCTCTCAGGGGTGAGATGCCACAGCACAGTGTCTATCCCGGCAGCCATTGGTACAAATACCACTCAGTGGCATCAAGTCAACTGATGCCAGGCAGCCATCACACCCAGCATTCCCATCTCTCCATGTACCCTCCTTCCCCAGGAGCCACGCCTGCCCCCAGCACCGAACCACGTGCTGTCTGTGGAGTCAGCGGGTGTGGCCTGGGTCTGGCTCATTCACTGAGATCAGTCCTCTGGGTCACCGTGTTGTACCTGTGTCAGGGTGTGTTCCTTTATGGCTGGGAATGCCCCCTGCACGGCCACTCCTCCACCCGGGAGGGCACGGGGCTGCTTGTGGGAAGGACCGGGCTGCCTCAATCCGGAGAGCAGGAAGTGCTGGCAGGTCCGGGCAGAGCAGGGCAGGGTGTGCAGGCTGTGGCCAGCGTGTGCTCATAGGAATGGTGTCCACCGCATTGAACACAGTGAGTTAGTGGGTCCCTGCGGGAACCTTGGAATTAACCCACCGAGTACACCTGGGCCCTGTCGGGCTGTGCGCGGAGCTCGGACACAGGAGACCCGGTGCCCTCAGAGGGCTCACACTAGAGCCCAGCCCTGACGGAAGGATGACGGAGCCCCCGTCAGTGCGCCTCCCCAGCAGCCATATTAAAAGAGAAGAGAAACAGGTCTGATCACGTTGAACACCTTTAGCTCAGCGAGTCCCCAGTGTCCGCGCAGCCCGTAGTCACCGTGAAACACTAGGCAGCGGCCTCTTTCCTGCTGTCTCCCAAGGCCAGTGGGCGAGCCACACGGCGGCGCGTCCAGTGTGGACCGGCTCCCCTTCCAGCCCCACAGGCCCGGCGGCGGGGGTGCCTGGGGCACCCAGGCCTAGACACCGTCATGGTCAGAGGTGGGCAGGCTGTGTCAGAGGCCAGCGGGGACTGGGCATCGAGGGGACTCCTTCTGCACTGGGTCTCAAGCCAACGTCTCAGGCAACCGTCTGAGCAGGAGGAGGGCTGCGCTGCCAGAGCCCAGGGCCAGGCTGTGGGGGCAGCACCGAGGGCAGCCTGTGGCCCAGGAAAGACAGGGGGAGGGGCCACCCCTGACACCTCCAATCTAGGCCCAGGAGGCAGACCTCTCTGCCGCAGTCACAGGGCACACCCGACTGTGAGTCTGGGAAACCGCCTGGACGAGCAGCCGCGAGCCCGGAGATTGAGGGGAAGAGCCTGCGGCCTGTGCAGAGGCCTGTTGGGAAGGCGTGTGGCTGGGCCCTGGGCTCCGTCCTGAGGAAGGTGGATGAGATGCCCCACCAGGCTCCCAGGGCCCTCAGGAGTCAGGTCTCACACCCACAGCAGAGCCCTGCCTGGCCAGGGCGTCCGTGGGTCGGAGTGTCGTCCCAGGCAATGAAGGGTCACTATTAGATTCCAGATCGGGGTGTATACACAGGTTGGAGAATTGATCCCTGGTTGGGGTGCGTATGGGAGGCAACCCATTGGTGTTTCTCTCACACACTGATGTTTCTCTCTCAAATATATGCGATATGTGTTTTTAAAATGTTTTTAATGGTTTCAGAGAGGAAGGGAGAGAGATAGAAACATCAGTGATGAGTGAGAATCGCTGATCAGCTGCCTCCTGCACACCCCACTCTGGGGATCAAGTCAGCAACCTGGGCTTATGCCCTTGACCAGAATCGAACCCAGGACCTTTCAGTCCCCAGGCCAATGCTCTGTCCACTGTCAGCCTGTTGAGTAAAATGTCCTGGGTTATTTATATTAAATAAAGTATATATTATTTAATGCTCACCGGGGTGACTCAATGGTTGAGCTCATCCAGGAGTCGAACCGGAAGGTCACGGCTTGAGGCCTGCCAGGAATGCCTGGATTGCTGGCTCAGACAGTCCCCAGTCGGAGGCATGAGGGAGGCCGTTGATCACTGATCCTCCTTCATCGCTGATGTTCCTCTCCTCTCCTCTCTGAAATCAGTGACAATATATGTGAAAGAGGGAAACCTCCTCGGTGAGGATCAGAGGTGACTCACTGTGCTCCTGTCTCTGCAGCCAGAGCACACCTTCGACTTCATCAGCAAGGAGCTGTGTGTGCACGCCATCCAGAAGCTGCAGGCCCAGGTCCTGCTCATCAAGTAAGTCTGAGCCCAGCAGCCACACAGTGAGCGCGGGAACCTGCAGGTCTCCCAGGGCGAGGTCCCAGCCCCCCACTGCCCAGGCTGGGGACGCCCTCGGCAGCTGGTGCCTGGCAGGAAGGCCTTCCAACAGGTGACTGTGGAGGGCACCCCAACCCTGCAGCACCTGGGCCCCTCCCTCCCCAGGCCTCTGCTGCCGCTCCTGTCTGCCTTTCTCCCCAGCCCGCACCTCAGGGTCTCACCGCTGGAACATCCTTTAATGTAGCCTAGATGCCACACACACACACACACTGCAGTCCGGCACCACCCACGCCCAAGGCAGGATCCGTGACCCAGGGACAGGCTGGTGCCCAGCACAGGCTCTACATAGCACCCACTCAGACACGCACAGTCACACCCTGCACATCCACCAGGGGGCTACTCTCACCTGAGCCAGTGTGGTGGGCAGGATGGCCAGGGCCCCAGCCCTCAGAGTGATGGGGCTGTCCAGTGGTGAGGCCACACTGGCACAGTCTGGCGTCTCTCAAGCAGTTACCACAGGGCCCTCTGGCTGGGCAGTCGCACTCCCAGGTGCTGGCCCCCGTGAGGCCCACACTGGTGCGTGATGGTGTAGATTCCTCATGACACCCCAAGGTGGGGTAGCCCTGATGCCCGCCCTCCAGTAGCTGTTTCAGCCCTAAAAAGGAAGCACTGACACATGCCAGAGCACAGAGGGACCCTGAAAGCATTGGGCTCCATGGCAGCCAGCGCGTCCACACCACTGAACTCCCCTCCCCCACAAGCCCAGGCAGGGAAAGGGGCAGCACTTCCGCTAGACCTGCAGTGTGTGTGGGAGGACACAGGCTGGGATTTCTTTTGAGGTGATGAAATGCTCTAAAATTGACCGCTGGTGGTTGCACATCTGAAGATATTAAAAACCAAGGGATCATGCACTTAAAGTGGGTAAAACTGTCTTAGTAAAGCTTTTTCTTTTAAAGAAAGCCTGGCCAGTGTAGTTCAGTGGCTGAGCATCAACCCATGAATCAATGTTTGCCAGTTTGATTCCCCCTAAGGGCACATACCCAGGGATGGATCCCCAGTAGGGAGGATGCAAAAGGCAGCTAATTGATGTTTCCCTCTCTCTAAAAATCAATTAAAAGAAAGAAAAAGTGCGGACTCAAGCCGTTCACTGGCTCCACAATCACTGGCTGTGACACGGGCAAACTGGGCCTTCTAGTGCGGGTGGGTACTGAGCCTGAATCTTGTCTTAAACTTGAACTCAATGGCACCCAGTTGTGGACAAGGGGGAGGGTGCCAGGCCAGGTGCAGGGCACTGCTGGAAACGCACCAGAGATGAGCCCTGGTTCCTTGCTTTCCAGAGCAACCGAAGGATTTTATGACGTGAGGAGAGAGAAGGACTCTGACAAGGGGCCACTGCTTTTCATGACTGACACGCTGAAATCCGCCCTGGGAGAGGTAGGTGTGGGGCTCAGGGGGGCTGGGGTGAGAGGGCATCATGTCCTCTGCGCTCCACCATGCTACCTCTTCCTTTGATATCAGAGAGGAAGGGAGAGGGATGGAAGCATCAATGAAGAGAATCATTGGCCAGCTGCTTCCTACACACCCCCAACTGCAACCCTGGTGTGTGCCCTTGACTGGAATTGAACCTGGGACCCTTCAGTCCATAGGCTGATAGTCTACCCACTGAGAGAAGCCAGCTTTCCTGCATGGGGGCCCCTGGTCTGGCTCAGCACCAGGTCCACCAGGTGACCCTCCAGGAGCTACCAGGCCTCACTCCCAGCTGTGGTCACATGTACATCAGCACAGAATAGACAGTTATTGGCAGACTCTCCGATTTTATTGTCCTCACACCCAACGGGCATCCCAGTTTCCTACGGTCCCAATGGGAACAGATGACCAGTCCCCTCATTGGGTGCTGGCTGCAGGTGGGGGTGGGCCCCAAAGCAGGAGGCTGGGTCTTGTGCTGTGACTGTCCCTGAGGAGCACCGGGCAGTGCTCCCCCACACACACCTGACCCCGGAAACGGGAAGCCTGTGGGTGGCTGGGTGGCCAGCGGCGGCTCCCTCCCACCAGGAGCAGCGTGTGAAAAGCCGCTGGTTCTTCTCCCAGGCGGGCCTGAATCACCCAGGGTCACTTTGAACCACCTCAGGGAGGCAGTAGACCCCAGGAAAGCCCCAGCAGAGGGGCCCTTGGAGCCTCCACTCTGGGCTACCCCTCACCACCTGTCCCCTCCCTTCCCAGCGGTTCCAGTATGTGGAAGTTCCAGGCAACCACTATGTCCACATGAACCAACCGGATCACGTAGCCAGTGTCATTGGCTCCTTCTTACAGAGCGGGAACAGGATCCCAGCCAGTCCGTAGCCTGGAGCCTGGGGCCACTGAGACCTTGTGCTGACCACTCGCCACCGGACGCCCAGCTCCGGGTCCCAGCCAGGCCAGGCCTCACTGGTATTGGGCAGCATGAGCTGGCAGAGCAGAGCTGTGGGGTGAGATTTGTCTCCAACATTTGTGAGTTCTAAGGGGAGACGGTGTGTGGATCCGGGCTGTCTGTGTTGTGGCTGGAAAGCGCAGGGAGCTGGGAGCAGGAAGGACTGGAGAGGCCGCCGCCAACAGTTCTTGCAGCCTTTGCTGTGCCGCCTGGATGAATAAATTATTCTTTTCTCTCTCGCTGCCTCTGAGGCGTTCATGGGAGCGGGAGTGTGGCGACTGAGGGGTAAGGGGCGAACATGGCGGACACTTAGCTTTTGGCGGAAGATCCGGACCATCTGGGAGAAGACAGGAGCAGAAGGAACCACTTCCTGGGCCAGTGGCTCCTGAGAGCCAAGTCCTCCTGCAGGGCTGGCTCCCCAGCTCCAGGCTTGAAGCTGTCTGAGGGGGGCAGTTTCCGGGCCCAGGCAGTCTGGAAGCCTCCAGGCCTTCGTGTCCTTGATGGCCACCCCACCACCCTGACCGTGCGGCTCAGTAGGGACGGAATTTGCGCTGGGCCCGCATCAGCTCAATCCTCTGCTTGTCCTCCTCGAACTTCTTGCGCAGCTGTGCTAGATCTGGGTGTGAGAGGGAGGGGGAACAGCCAAAATCAGACATGCTCCTGGGAGCTGCACCCCATTGCCCCGCATGAGCCCGCCTGGCCACACCCACATTCTCCCAGCAGCCTCTGCACCGGAGGCCCCCCTCCTGCAGTCTGGCCCCAGCACAACTGCTCAGGGGTCTGGCTGTGGGTCCTACACCCCAGATGCCTCCACAGCCCTAAGTAACCCAGAGCACCCCACAGCGACCTCTAGGGACCGAAGTGGGACCTGCACACAAGCACTGCTGGCTGGGATCCAAATCCAAAGCTGTTGGGAACCTTGGGCAACAGGCCCTCCCAGGCAGCTGGGGCTCAAGGCTCCTGGGGCTGGCCTAAGGGCTGGCCAAGGGGCTGGGGCGCGCCCTTACGCTCCATCTTGGTCTCGCGGTGCTGCCAGGCATAGAAGTTGAGCAGCTCCTTGCGGGCGCGCTTCCGCTTCTCCCTCTCCAGCACCCGCAGGCTGGCTGCCTCCGTCCGGGGCAGCACGGGCCGCCTGCCACGGCGTGTCACCTTCACCCAGCCCTCACCGTCCGGGACCCCTTCCTCCTCCTTGGCCTTAGCTTCCTCCTGCAAGCACATGACCCTGTGATGGCGCCGGGGACCCGCCTGCAGCCAAGGGAGCCTGTTGGGAAGAACCTGGGCACCCAAGGGCACCTGCTGCCCACTCCGCCCCAGCAGTGTGGGTGCCTGAGTTGGGGGGTGGGGGGAGACATGCCAATGCTGCTGCCTCCTCCAGCCTCGGACTGTCCCCTCTGCAGACCTAGCAACTAGACGCCAACAGATGAGGAGACCAAGACTCAGCAGGGAAAGGGGCGTCTAGATTCCCTCGGTGACCAGGTCAGCGGCATCCCCACCCCCTCCCTCAGGAGCCCCCCGCACCCATGGCGCCGCCTTCCCCACAGCACCAGTGAGGTGCGGCCCCAGGAAGCCCACCTCGGCCATCTTCCTGTCGTACGCCTCCATGAATGTGTCCACTTCCACTCGCAGGGCCTCCGGGTCCAGCACGGAGTCTGTGTAGTCACTGATCCACTCTGAGGGCGGGAGCGAGGCAGCCTCCTCAGGCGCCTGCGGGCCACCCGGGACCGCCCGCCAGCTGGCAACTCGCACACGGGCCACAGGGACGGAGACTGGCCAGCGTTTGGTGGGGAAGGCTCTGGTGGTCACAAGCTGGGCCCCCCGCCCTGTGCCCACCCAGTGCCAGGCTCAGGCCTCCCACACGCAGCTCTCAGGGCAAGTGAACACAGCGACGCTGCCTCACAAGGACCCCCACCCACCCCCCAGGGCCCGGGAAGGCGGTACCCCACCCCCCAGCAGCACTGACTGTGAATGCCGCTCTTCACGGGGCGACTCTCTGTGGAGACCAGCAAAGGGCCCTTCAGGGCTAAGGCAGCCGACACCCCATTCGGCTTCCGGAACACCACGTAGGCCACCTGGAAGCCCTGGAGGGAGGGAGACGTCACCGCGCTGGGCCTTCCCGGTCTCCCACCACTCACGCCCGGCACGTGGGATTCCCCTGCCCTCAGCCTGGCTTGTCACTGGACCAGCGGAGATGTGCAGGGTTGTCCCTGACCATGAAGATGACCAGAAGGTTGTCCTAATCCACAGGCAGGATGGCCGTGTGCCAGTTACCCGCCTGAGCCCCTAGTTACCCATTGTGTAACCCCAAGTTACTCACCTGAGCCCCTACCCGCTGTGCCCCTAGATCCCGCTGTGCCCCCAGTTCCCCGCCTGTGCCCCTAGATCCCGCTGTGCCCCCAGTTCCCCGCTGTGCCCCCAGTTCCCCGCTGTGCCTCTAGATCCTGCTGTGCCCCTAGTTCCCCGCTGTGCCCCTAGTTCCCCGCCTGTGCCCCCAGTCCCCCGCTGTGCCCCTAGTTCCCGCCTGTGCCCCCAGTTCCCTGCTGTGCCCCCAGAATCCCGCTGTGCCCCTAGATCCCCGTTGTGCCCCCAGTTTCCCGCCTGTGCCCCGTTCCCCGCCGTGCCCCCAGTTCCCCGCCGTGCCCAGTTCCCCGCTGTGCCCTTTCCCAATAGGCCATTCCTCCGATATGGGAGGGACGGGGACCAGCGTGCTGACCCCAGGCCACAGGGACATGACAGTGGGGCTCAGGGAGGCCCTCAGGCCGGGCGCAGAGATGGGCCCTGGGCTTTCAGGACCCTGGAAAGAGGCAGCAGGAAGCTAAAGGAAGTGGCTAGCCTGGGGTAAGGAGTGGAGCGGTCTACCTGCCAGCCCTCCTGGGCCACATGCCTGGCCTAGAGCCATAGGGCAGGCCCTGAAAGTCCCACTGCCACCCAGCTTCACCATCCCCTCAGGGGGACACTGCCCCCTGCCCCATGCTGCAGACCCAGCAACGGAGGCTCACCGGAACAGGCTTGGGGTGAAAAAACTTCGACTTTGGCTCCTTGGCACTGTCGGTGAGCTCGGGCTTCCCCTGCAATTCCACGGACTGGACGGGGCCACAGGGGGAGAGGAGGCAGGCCAGGCACTCCTGAGGCGGAGGGAGCACAGTGTGAGGGCTGCAGGCCCTTCCAGGAGCCTCCCTCCCCTTGGAGATCCGGGCTCCCATGTCTGTCCCAGCGGGGACACGCAGGGAGGGTCTGGGCAAGCCGTGGCTCAGCACGGAGGTTAAAATCCTCTCTTCCCAGGGCCCGAGACAAAACCTAGTCAATTGACACGTTAAACCCGGGGGGTACGAAGCCACCCCGCCCACTGGCCAGGGCAGTGGGACACACACACACACACACACACAGAATTCAGGTGTGAGCTTTCTGGCTTTGTGACAGGATCCTGTGGGAGCATATGCCCCCAACGCATGGCTTTCTCACCAAAGTGAAGGGATTTATCACTTGGAAAGTACCTCTTGCTGAAGATTAGCCTTTCCTATCAATTTCTCTGGGTAATGAGACCGAAAGAAGAATTAGGTTCTAAGTTTCTTTTTAAAATTACTAGGAACCCTGGCCAACTAGCTCAGTTGGTTAGAGCATCGTCCTAATCTGCCAAGGGTGCAGGTTCGATGTGGGTCAGGGCACATCAAGAATCAACCCCGGCGCCAAAACCGGTTTGGCTGAGTGGATAGAGCGTTGGCTTGCGGACTGACAGGTCCCAGGTTTGATTTCCGGTCAAGGGCATGTATGTTGGTTGCGGGCACGTCCGCAGTAGTTGGTGTGCAAGAGGCAGCTGATGGATGTTTCGAACTCTCTATCCCTCTCTCTTCCTCTGTAAAAAATAAATTTAAAAAAAAAAAAAAAAAAAAAAGAATCAACCCCGGGGAGGGAGAGGGATGGGATAACTTAAAAAAAGAAAAAAGTCAATTCCTGTTGTAACTGGTTTGGCTCAGTGGATAGAGCATCAGCCTGCGGACTGAAGGGCCCAGGTTTGATTCTGGTCAAGGCATGTACCTTGGTTGCAGGCACATCCCTGGTAGAGGATGTGCAGGAGGCAGCTGATTGATGTTTCTCTGACATCAGTGTTTCTCTCTCTCTCTTACTTCCTCTCTGTAAAAAAATCATTAAAATATATATATTTTTTGAAAAGAATCAACTCCCTTTTCCTCTCTCTAAAATCAATAAATAAATGTTTTAAATGTAAAAAAAGAAAATTATTGCAAGAATAGGTGGGGCATTTTTGGTGTAACTCCTAGTATTCTGATTTTATGAGTCAACCAAGTAAGTTTTACTGCCTCAACCCACCTTTTAAAAACAGAGTGAAACCTGTGCTGTTGAAATCAGGATGATGGTTAGCCTGGGTTGGGGGCAGGGAAAGGGGGGACGATGACGAGGGATCTCTGGGTGCGAATGATGCTGCTTCTGTTTAGCCTTCAGTAAAGGCTAAAGATGACACCCTCTCCTTTTCATGATTTTTTTTCTCTCTTTAGTTATAATAGTTTAGCCGGGCCAGCATGGCTCAATGGTTGAGCATTGACCTATGAACCAGGAGGTCATTGTTCTATTCCCAGGGCACATGTTGGGGGTTGTGGATTTGATCCCCAATGTGGGGTGTGCATGAGGCAGCCAATAGATGATTCTCTCCCATCATTGATGTTTCTATCTCTCCCTTTCCTTTCATGTGTGAAATCAGTAAAAAAAAAAAAAAAAAAAAAAAAAACATTTAAAACTGTAATCATTTAGAATCTAATTTCTTTTTTGAAACAGTTTCTCTCCTGCAAAGTTATATAATACTAAGTTTACCAACTTTGTGGAGAAAAAATAGACATGTCTGGATAGATTTAGAAGTAATTTTATTTTCTTACATTTTTCCTATGGACATGTACTGTTTTTATAACCAGGGTTATAAAAACTTATTTTAAGTAATAAAAACTTTGGGCTCCTCAGCATTAATATTTTTAAGAAACACTCCTTTAAGCCAGGCTGGTGTGGCTCAGTGGTTGAGCATCGACCCATAAACTAGGTCATAGTTCATTTCCCAGTGAGGGCACATGCCCAGGCTGCAGACTGCTCGTGCGGGAAGTGCAGGAGGCAGACAATCAATGATTCTCTCTCATCACTGATGCTCCTGCCCCTCTCTTCCTCTCCCTTCCTCTCTGAAATCAATAAAAATGGATCGTTAAAAAAAGCTATTTTCCTGTCAGGAGAGAGGCTGCCCTCTGGATTCCTGCCCTTGGGGCTTCAGTTAGCTGACTCCATCTCACCACTAAGGCCTTGGTGGGGGCAGTGAAAGCAGAGCTCTGCCTAGAGCCCACCCCAGCCACAGCTGCCTCCCAGATACCAGCTCACCTCGGTGCAGTAAGGGGGCACATTGAGGACAAAGAGGGTCCTCTTCTGCGGCCAGGAAGACTTGGTGCCTTCTCGAACTCTGTGCTCTCTCACGTACAGGTAATGAGAAGCCTTCTGCTTTTCGGAGAACTTGATTGGAATGGCTGGAAGGAAAATGGGGCAGGAAGGGATGACATGAAAGTCAGAATCAGGCTGCCCCTTTCTAGTCCCATCTGTCTGTCCACCCCCCCCCCCATCCTTCCCTGAGCCCTTCCTCCAGGCAAGACCTGTGCCAGGCGCTCTTCAGTCTATCACAGTAGGCGAGCCAGGAATCTGCCCACCAGCCCCTCTACCCCCGAGCTGATGGAGGAGACAATGGTCACAGGTGGGGAGTGAAGCAAGAGGAAATTTGTTGTTGCTGCTGCTGCTGCTCATGAGGTAAACACTGAACCCCCTGTGGCTGAGGTCCACCTGAGGCCTTTTCTCACTCCCTACACCCCTCCCCCCGCAGTTGGCAGGCCACTCTGGCCTTCCCTCTGTTCCTCACATACCTGTACCCTTCACCGGAAAGAGAACCCTCCCTCTCCGCCTGTTCTGCAAGTTTTCACTTCACTTCCTGCGAGGAGTCCTACCTGCCAGGTGACCCACCTGCTCCGCGCCTTCACAGCTTCTCCTATGGCCCTACCTCTGCGTTTGGAGGGTTATCTGGATAATCACTCATATTCCCACACATTTTAGTTCTCACAAAATTAGGGACTGTTGCCGGCACCGGTTTGGCTCAGTGGATAGAGCGTCGGCTTGCGGACTGAAGGGTCCCGGGTTCGATTCCGGTCAAGGGCATGTACCTTGGTTGCGGGCACATCCCCAGTAGGGGGTGTGCAAGAGGCAGCTGGTCGATGGCTCTCTCTCATCGATGTTTCTAACTCTCTATCCCTCTCTCTTCCTCTCTGTGAAAAATCAATAAAATATATAAAAAAATAAAAATAAAAAAATTAGGGACTGTTTTCTGTCCCTCCCACCACCTTCTACAGAGCAGGGGAGGGCAGAGGCGGCTGCAGCCCTGCACGCAGCAGCTCCCGGGCGATGGGGAGACAGTCAACAAGCAGACACCGAGGCTGCTCCCATAGGGAAGAAACGGGAGGCAACTCTGGGGAGGGAGCTATGTATGGGAGGGGGGGAGCAAGGGTAAAATATGTACACAGATAATATTTTAATTTTAAAAATTAAATAAAAAACTGAAAATGGAACTCCCATTTGACCCAGTAATACCACTCCTAGGATTTTATCCCAAGAAACTAGAAACACCAATCAGGAAGGATATATGCACCCCTATGTTCATAGCAGCACAATCTACAAATAGCTAGGATATGGAAACAGCCTAGGTGCCCGCCAGCAGAGAATTGGATCCAAAAACTATGGTACATCTACACAATGGAATACTGTGCTGCCATAAAAAAGAAGGAATTCTCATCATTTGCAGCGACCTGGATGGAATTGGAGAACATCATGCTGAGTGAAATAAGCCAGTCAATGAAAGAGAAACACCACATGACCTCACTCATTTATGGATAATAAAGAACATTATAAACCGATGAACAAAAAGATAGATACAGAGACAGTAAAGCAACAGGCAAACTGTCAAATTACAGCGGGGAGGGTAGGGAGATCTGGGGGAGATAAGAGATCAACCGAAGGACTTGTATACATGCATATAAGTACAACCAATGGACACAAAACTCTGGGGAGGGTGGGTATGTATTGGGGGGGGCAATGGTAAAATATGTACACAGATAATAATTTAATTTAAAAAAATTAAATAGCCGAGACCGGTTGGCTCAATGGATAGAGCGTCGGCTTGGGGACTGAAGGGTCCCGGGTTCGATTCCGGTCAAGGGCATGTACCTTGGTTGCGGGCACATCCCCAGTAGGGAGTGTGCAAGAGGCAGCTGATTGATGACTCTCTCTCATCGATGTTTCTAACTCTCTATCTCTCTCCCTTCCTCTCTGTACAAAATCAATAAAATATATTTTAAAAAAATTAAATAAAAAAAGAAAGAAAGAAAGAAATGGGAGGCAGCACAGGGTGCCGGTGGCAGAGGCCTTGGGAACCATCCTGAAGGCTTCTTGGAGGAAGGGAATAGCGGGCGGGTGGGCAGCAGCCAGGGCACAGCTGAAGGAGGAACTCGGAGGAGGGCCGCAGCCAGAGCACAATCCCTGAGGGTGGGAAGAGCTTGCTGCCTCGGGGGCACAGAAAGCCAGAGCTAAAGTCAGGTCGGCCCCGAGGTCACAGGTGGGGAGTGAAGGAGGCAGACATTCAATGATTCTCTCTCTCATCACTGGTGCTTCTGTCCCTCTTCCTCCCCCTTCAATGGTAACAAGTCTGAGTTTTGCTTTAAGCCTAACATGAGCCATTGGAGAGATTGGGGGGGGGGGGGGGTGTCTAGAGGTAAGAGTGTGAAGCGAAGTCTGACTGAAGTCTGACTTTAGCCCGGCCGGTTTGGCTCAGTCGGTTGGGCTTCCTCCTCCACACCCGGAGGTTGTGGGTCCGAATCCCAGGGAAGGGCACATGCGGGTGTGACGGGCTGCAGGCTGATCCGCTAAGAAACAGCACATCAATGTTTCTGTTTCCCTTCCCCTCTAAGACTATATAAATATCTTAAAAACAAAGAGAGAAACAGACTTATAGTCCGAGAACAGAATGGTGGCTGCCTGAAGGGAGGGGCTTGGGGAGCTGAGTGGCCAGGGGCAGGCGCGCTCCCGAGGGGGAAGGGGCGGGACGCCCCAGGGGGAGTGGGGACAGGGGTTCCCCAGGGGGAGTGGGGACAGGGGCTCCCAGGGGGAGTGGGGACAGGGGATCCCCAGGGGGAGTGGGGACAGGGGCTCCCAGGGGGAGTGGGGACAGGGGCTCCCCAGGGGGAGTGGGGACAGGGGCTCCCAGGGGGAGTGGGGACAGGGCTCCCCAGGGGGAGTGGGGACAGGGGTTCCCAGGGGGAGTGGGGACAGGGGTTCCCAGGGGGAGTGGGGACAGGGGATCCCCAGGGGGAAGGGGCGGGACGCCCCAGGGGGAGTGGGGACAGGGGTTCCCAGGGGGAGTGGGGACAGGGGTTCCCAGGGGGAGTGGGGACAGGGCTCCCCAGGGGGAGTGGGGACAGGGGTTCCCAGGGGGAGTGGGGACAGGGGTTCCCCAGGGGGAGTGGGGACAGGGCTCCCCAGGGGGAGTGGGGACAGGGGTTCCCAGGGGGAGTGGGGACAGGGGTTCCCCAGGGGGAGTGGGGACAGGGGCGTCCCAGGGGGAGTGGGGACAGGGGTTCCCCAGGGGGAGTGGGGACAGGGGTTCCCCAGGGGGAGTGGGGACAGGGGAGGCGCCGGCCCAAGCGGGCTCCTCCCGGGAGAGTCTGCAAGGAGCCAGGTGGGCCCACGACCAGCCAGCACCGCACCCGGAGCCGAGTCTGGGCAAAGCCTGGCTCTGCCCGGCCGCTCACCCACCCCGCCGCCCCCCACCCGCCCCGCCGCCCCCTGACCCCGCACCCGCCCCGCCGCCCCCCACCCGCCCCGCCGCCCCCTGACCCCGCACCCGCCCCGCCGGCCCCGCACCCGCCCCGCCGGCCCCCACCCGCCCCGCCGCCCCCTGACCCCGCACCCGCCCCGCCGGCCCCGCACCCGCCCCGCCGGCCCCTGACCCCGCACCCGCCCCGCCGGCCCCTCACCCGCCCCCCACCCACCCCGCGGCCCCTCACCCGCCCCGCCGGCCCCTCACCCGCCCCCCACCCACCCCGCCGCCCCCCACCCGCCCCGCCCCCCCTCACCCACCCCTCACGCCGCCCCGCACCCGCCCCGCCGCCCCTCACCCGCCGCCCCGCACCCGCCCCGCCGCCCCGCACCCGCCCCGCCGCCCCGCACCCGCCCCGCCGCCCCTCACCCGCCCCGCCGCCCCGCACCCGCCCCGCCGCCCCGCACCCGCCCCGCGGCCCCTCACCCGCCCCGCCGCCCACACTTGTTAAGCTGCCCCTCACCCGCCCCGCGGCCCCCCACTTGTTAAGCTGCCCCTCACCTGAGTAGCCCGGGGGGCTCGGAATCCCCTCTTCGGTGTCCCGCGCCGCACGCTTCCTCCTGCGCGCCACCATCTTGCCGACCGGAAGCCGCGGGGCTGCTGGGAGTTGTAGTTGGGAGCTGGGAGCTGCGTGTTTCCAGGACAACGACCCTGCGTGGGGTTCTTGGGCCACTTCCTTTCTCGCTCAGAATAGTCAGAATATAAGATAAATGTGCGAGTAAATGAAGGCGTGGTCGGGTGGTTCAACCGGGGTGTGATCTCTCTCTCATCACTGATGTTTTTCTCTCTCCCTTACTCTCTGAAATCAATAGATAGATAGATAGATAGATACAGATATATATAGATATATATCTGTATCTATCTATCTATCTATATATTTTACAAATCAGTGTTTAAATTTTTAATATATATATATTTAAAAGCACAGTTTTTAATTTTTATGAATATTTTTGTAGATAACCAATTGCCTTTGAAATATTTTAAGGAATATGAACATTTTCAATTTTTAAAAAATTGATTTTGGAGAAGGGAGAGAAATTTTGATATGAGAGAGAAACATCAATCTGTTGCCTCCCGCATGCACCCCAACCAGGGATTGAACCGACAACCTGGGTATGTGCCTCGACTGGGAATCAAACCAGCAACTTTTTTTTTTAATTGATTTTTTACAGAGGGGAAGGAAGAGGGATAGAGAGTTAGAAACATTGATGAGAGAGAAGCATCGCACACTGGGGATGTGTCCGCAACCAAGATACATGCCCTTGACTGGAATCCAACATGGGACCTTTCAGTCTGCAGGCCAACGCTCTATCCACTGAGCCAAACTGGTTTCGGCAAACCAGCAACTTTTCATTGTGACACTTATCCAACTTAATCATATCTGCCGGAGCTGAACCATTTATTGAAAATATGATTCTTTCCCCACTGAACTATCTGGGCACGCTAGTTGAAAAGTAAATGATCAGAGAGATGAGGCATTATTTCTGGACTCTCCATTCTATCCCATCCATCTATCTATATACCTTTTTAAATTTTAAAATGGACTTTTTAGAGGAAGGGAGAGAAACATTGATTTGTTGTTCCACCTATCAGTGCACCCATTGGCTGATTCCTGTATGTGCCCTGACCGGGATTAAACCCGAAACATTGGCAGATTGGGATACACTCGGATCAACTGAGCCCCCTGGCCAGGGCTGATCTATATTTCCATCCTTACCCAACACTACAGTCTTCATTACTGCAACTTTGTGGTTTAAGGTCTGAACTCAGAAGTATGAGTCCTTCAACTCTCTTCAAGACTGTTCTGGACCAAAACCAGTTTGGCTCAGTGGATAGAGCGTCGGCCTGTGGACTGAAAGGTCACAGGTTCGATTCCAGTCAAGGGCATGTACCTTGGTTGCGGGCACATCCCCAGTAGGGGGTTTGCAAGAGGCAGCTGGTAGATGATTCTCTCTCATCAATGTTTCTAACTCTCTATTCCTCTCTGTAAAAAATCAATAAAATATATATTTAAAAAAAGACTGTTTTGGTTACTAGGTTTCTTTCAACAATATTGTGCAGTTTTCAAAATATAATTTTTGCATTTATTTTGTTAAAACCTTTTTCAAAATATATTTTTATTGATTTCAGAGAGGAAGGGAGAGGGGGAGAGAGAGAGATGGAAGGATCAATGATGAGAATCATTGATCTGTTGTCTCCGCCATGTCCCCTATTGGGGATCAAGCCCACAACCTTGGATATGTGCCCTCCTGCTGAATGGAACCCGGGACCCTTCAGTCTGCAGGCCAAAGCTCTATCCACTCAGCCAAACTGGCTAGGGCTATTTTGCTAAATTTGTGTGTATTTTATTCTTTTTTTAAAAAATATATTTTATTGATTTTTTAGAGAGGAAGAGAGAGGAATAGAGAGTTAGAAACATCAATGAGAGAGAATCCTTGACTGGAATCGAACCTGGGACCCTTGAGTCCGCAGGCCGACGCTCTATCCACTGAGCCAAACCGGTTTCGGCAGTATTTTATTCTTTTTGGCACTATGCTAAGTGGATTTTTTTATTTTTTATTTTAGAGGGTATTTATTAAAGCTGGGGACAGTGAAACAAGGAAGGGTTGGGGAAAGGAGCCTAGGCTGGGCTGCTTTGGCTAAGAAGTCAGAGAAAAGGGGCCTTGGGGTCTGGCTCAGGGGGTGGAATCGTTTTCTTAATTTCCTTTTTAGATTGTTTATTGCAATTATTAACAATTGATTTTCTGCCCTGTAATGCTGTTGCTTATTTGGTTCTATTATAGTAATCTCTTGGGTTTCTTAGCATTTTCTGTATACAGACCATGTCATTTCAAAAAGATACTTTTACTTATTTCTTTCCAATCTGGATGCTATTCCTTTCACCCGAATTGTCCTGGCTAGAACCTCTTATGTTAAACAGAAGTGATAAAAAGTGGACATCTTTGTCTCTTACCATTCCACGTGACCAAAGAACACACTGTAAATTCAGTTCTTTTACATTTGTGGAGATTAGCTGTATGGCCCAGGGCATGATCGATTTTTATGCTTGTTCCATGGGCATTTGAAAAGAATGTGTATCCTGTTGTTGGGGAGTATCCTGTTGATTGGATCCTGTTGGTTGATAAGTGTTAACTTCTTTTATATATATGTGTGTGTGTATATATGTATATATGTATATATATATATATATATATATATATATATATATATATTTTACAGAGAGGAAGAGAGAGGGATAGAAAGTTAGAAACATAGATGAGAATCATCAATCAGATGCCTCTTGCACACTGGGGATGTGCCCACAACCAAGGTCCATGCCCTTGACCAGAATCGAACCTGGGACCTTTCAGTCCGCAGGCCAACGCTCTATCCACTGAGCCAAACCGGTCTTGGCAATAGTGTTTAACTTCTGCATCCTTGCTGATTTTCTTCTAATTGTTCTACCAGTTGCTAAGAGGAGTTGGAGTTTCCACATAAAAATGCGGATTTTCTGTTCTTTCCATTCTACTAGGTTTACATCATTTTGTAGCTCTGTGGTTTGGTAAGTACATATTTAGGATTATGTCTTCTTGGTGCAGTGACCCCTTTTTCATTATGTAATGTCCTTCTCTGTACTTGGTAATTTAAAAAAAAAATGCACTTTATTGATTTTTTTTTTTTTTTTTTTTTTTACAGAGAGGAAGGGAGAGGGATAGTTAGAAACATCAATGAAAGAGAAACTTTGACCAGCTGCCTCCTGCACACCCGCTACTGACCCCCTACTGGGGAATGTGCCCACAACCAAGGTACATGCCCTTGACTGGAATTGAATTTGGGACCTTTCAGACTATAGGCTGACACTCTACCCACCAAGCCAAACGGATTAGGGCAGAAACTGGTAATGTTGCCAAAACCGGTTTGGTTCAGTGGTAGAGCGTCGGTCTTCGGACTGAAAGGTGCCGGGTTCGATTCTGGTCAAGGGCATGTACCTTGGTTGCGGGCACATCCCCAGCAGAGGGTGTGCAAGAGGCAGCTGATCGATGATTCTCTCTCATCGACATTTCTAGCTCTCTCTCTCCCTCCCTTCCTCTCTGTAAAAAAATCAATAAAATATATTAAAAAAAAGAGAAACTGGTAATGTTTTTAAATATATTTTTTAAATTGATTTCTGAGAGGAAGGGAAAGGGAGAGTTGGGAGCATCAATGATGAATCATTGATTGGCTGCCTCCTGCAAGCCCCCTACTGGAGACCAAGCCCACAACCTGGGCAATGTCCCCTTGATCAGAATCGAGCCTGGGACCCTTCAGTCCACAGGTGGGTGCTCTATCCACTGAGCCAAACCGGCTAGGGCTGTACCTGGTAATTAAAAAAACACACACAAAACTATATTCAAGTGGACAGCAAAGTGTCTGGTAACTTTCTTTGTTTGATATCAAATATACTTTATTTTGCCACTTAAAAATATTTTATTGGCTTTTTTACAAAGGAGGAGGATAGAGTTAGAAATATCGATCAGCAGCCGCCTGCACACTCCCTACTGGGTAGGTGCCTGCAACCAAGTTACATGCCCTTGACCGGAATCGTACCTGGGACCCTTGAGTCCGCAGGCCAACGCTCTATCCACTGAACCACACCAGTTAGGGTGCCACTTTTGAGTAATGTTTGCATATTTACTATTTTCCCATCCTTTTACTTTCAATCTAACTTATCCTGTTATATCTGAAGTAAGTTTCTTATAGACAGCATATAGTTGTCATGTTTTTCCACCCACTTTGCCAATTTCTGTCAACTGACACATGTATTTAGACCATTTATACTTAATATACTTTGTGTACTTTGAGGGCTTAAGTCACTCACTTTTTTTGTTTTCTACTGTCCAAACCCCCCCCCCCCCCCCCGATTTCCAGTAGATTGCTTGAAAATTGTTTTTAGAACTCCATTTTGATTTCTCTAGTGTTTTGGGGTGCATTGCTTATCATTTTACATGTTACAATATACTTTGTCCAGATTTACTATTCGAGAGAAGTGTCTTCCCTGTTTATATCACTTTGCTCTCTCATTTATAAAGCAGTTGCTTTAAATATTTCCATTGAAACCACATCGATGTTATAACACTTGCTTCAACCATCAACCATAATTTAGAAAACTGGAGTATTTGGTATTTTTTTTTCTTTTGTGATATTCTAAGTTTCATTTAAAAAATATTTTTGTTTCAGATAGGCAGGGAGGAGATAGAAACACCATGATGAGAATCATGGATCAGCTGCCTCCTGCACGCCCCATACTGGGGGATCGAGCCTGCAACCTGGGCCTGTGACCTTGACCGGAATCTAACCTGGGACCCTTCAGTCTGTAGGCCGATGCTCCCGTTTCCTTTTAAAAATTCCTTCTTTGTGTTTAGAGAACCTCAACCATCTTCTCGGGATAGGTCCACTGCCACCACTCTCTCCACTCTTCATCTGAGAATGCCTAAAGTCTCCCTAATTCCTCAAGGATATATTTTGCTGGGTATACATTTTTAGTTGACAGAAATTTTCTGTTGCTACTTGGTAAATGTATCATTCCTCTGACCTCATAGTTTCTGATGAGAAATGTCAAATTTTTTCCCTACAGGCAAGGCATCAGTTCTCTTGCTGCTTTCAGGTTTATATCTGCCATTTCTGGGGGCACATACCTAGTCGGGAATGTGCAGGAGGCAGCTGATTGATGTTCCTCTCTCTTTGGTTTCTCTCCATCCCTCTCCCTTTCTCTCTGTAAAAAATTAATATATTTTTGAAAATTGGTTCAGTGGATAGAGCATTGGCCTGCGAACTGAAGGGTCCCAGGTTCAATTCTGGTCAAGGGCCTGTACCTTGGTTGCAGGCGCATTCCCAGTAGGGGGTGTGCAGGAGGCAGCTGATATTTCTAACTCTCTATCCCTCTCTCCCTTTCTCTGTAAAAAGTCAGTATATTTAAAAAATATTAAAAAATGGTTATTAGCCCTAGCCGATTTGGCTTGGTGGATAGAGCCTTGGCCTTGGCCTAGCCGATTTGGCTTGGTGGATAGAGCCTTGGCCTGGGTTCAATTCTGGCCAAGGGCACATACCTGGGTTGCAAGATTGATCCTTGGTCCTGATTGGCAGGCAACCAATCAATGTGAGAGATGTTTCTCTATTGTCCCTTCCCCTCCTTTTCACTCTTAAAAATCAATGGAGGCCCACCTGCCGTGGCTCAGCAGCTGAATGTCAACCCATGAACCAGGTGGTCATGCTTCCATTCCGTCAGGGCACATGCTCGGGGTTGCCGGCTCGACCTCCAGTGGAGTGTGCAGGAGGCAGCTGATCAATGATTCTCTCGTTTTTCTCTCTCCCTCCCTCTGAAATCAATAAAAAATAAAGGGTATCCACAGGTGTGGAGTAACAACCACAAAGGGTGGTCACGTGACCACGCTTCCTCCTCAGTGAGGCACTTCGGGGCCAGGAGGTGGAGTCCTGTGCCAGGTGCTCCCAGCACCACTGCTCACCTCCTCAGCCGTGGACTCAGGCTCGGTGAGTGCTGTGAGGGCCTCTGCTCCCAGGTCGGAGCTGGGGATAGGAAAGCCACAGCAGACGGCTGCTTCTGGTTAAGGCCACTTAGTAAAACTTGTAAGAAATGACAGCTCAGAGGTAGGAATAACAAACTTTATTCAGAAATGTATAAGTAACAGTGTCTCCTCCATCCCTTAATGCCTCTTCCTCTTCTTTTGAACTAGAAACACAGATGGGGAAAGTAGGGGCGTGGGAAGTTAAGAGGGACACGAGGACTGGCCCACCACCTTCTCTTCCGTTTTCCACGGTGCCATCCTGTAGACTAGGGGACAGACGGGCTTCACTCCACAATGTACCACATGGCTGTCCAGAGACCGAGCCCAGGTGACCAGGTGGCTGCAGCTAGCTCAACGACACTCCACCAGAGCAGCCTGGCCTAGCACTGGGAGGCGGGAGGGCAACACCACGCAGACAGGCCTTTACCACCTCTGCTCGGAGCAGAGTCTGAGCGTGGCCTACTGTGCTCCAGGCCGCAGAACGAGGCCTAACGCCTTGGATGCTCTCTTGGGTCAACAGTTTTGAAACTTGTAGGAGGAATGTCTTCCAGTTGCTCAAGAGAATACATCTGCACCCATTCAAAGGGGAAAAGGGAACAAGAGCTGCCTCCTTGCCGAAACCGGTTTGGATCAATGGATAGACCGTTGGCCTGCAGACTGAAAGGTCCCAGGTTCGATCTGTCAAGGGCATGTACCGTGGTTGCGGCACATCCCCAGTAGGGGGGTGTGCAAGAGGCAGCTGATCAATGATTCTCTCTCATTGATGTTTCTAACTCTCTATCCCTCTATCTTCCTCTGTAAAATCAATAAAAATATTAAAAGAAGAAAAAAAAAGAGCTGCCTTCTTTACAAACCAGAAAGGGAGCACACCAAGCACATTCCTTGGACTGACCAGCCTGTGCAACCTCGGAGCTGGGTCCAAACCTTGGGCCTTCCTGCTTGACAGACTAACTGAGGTCTGTCTTCCTGTGCTGGCCCCAGCAGGTCACAAGGCTCAGTGTCTTGGCCCCTTTACTTCCTGGGCCTGGGCCTTTCACAGCACCTGCTCCTGACCCTCTGCAGCTCCCAGAACCCTGCGCCCACGCTTCAGCTCTGCCGCCTGGACTGTTACAGCCCAGCAGACGGGGAGGCAGATGGCGCCTCTGAGCACTGCAGACTGGTCCTCAGGGGCTGCCCTGAGTGCTCAAGTTCGGCCCCAACTCCCTGGACCATTCTGAGGAACCGAGTGCTTGCCTGGAAGGGCTGTTTTGCTCTCTCTACTCCCTTCTCCATCCCCTTCCCCCTTTGCCAAGGCAGGAAAAGACCCCTCTGCTCAGGGACCGATGGGCCACTTACAAAGGTGGTAGCTGCACGTGTGCTCCCAGAATCCCTCCTGTCCTGCAGACATCCGAGGCCAGAAAGCCAGGAGCAAGCCAAAAGCTCCCCTCCTAATAACCCTCCAAACCCAGGGCCACAGAACTAGGGGAGAGCTGCCATTAACACAGAGCCAGGGGTGATGAGCTCTGTCTAGTGAAAACTTGAGGGACCAGCAAGCCCTCCCAGCAGCGATAACCAGAGGCCGAGAGAACTGGGGTGGAGCCCTGGGAAAAGGGACACGTGACCTCAGGATGAACTCTGAGCTGCCGAAACAGCATGGCCCGCCAGGCATGAGGTGTGGTGCACACTTCCTGGCAGAGCGGCAGCCTCACCCTGCCCCTGCCAACAGGGCCCTCCGGACCACCCTGGTGTGGAGACAATTGTGGAGAGAGGACAAGAGCCTGTGACCTGGTGCCCACCCAGGCCCCTCCGCTGGCAGGCCAGTGAGTGGCACAGCTCTGGAGCTGACCCAGCTCCCATTAGGATGGTGGAATGTCCATCCTCCACTTTGTTCAAAAACGTTGAAAAATAAACAGGAGGAAGCCTCTCGCCCTGGAAACTGCAGTCTCCTTCCAATAGCCCGCCCGGTAAGCCATGGAGCCACAAGAAATCACGCAGAGTCCAGAACGCTGTTTCCAGGAAAGAAGCTGGTTTGGAGCGGAGGTCAGGGGGAGAGACAATCTGAACAACACAAACCTACCTTAGAGAAGACAGAGGGGAGAAACACTACAGGAAATGTTAGCGCACAGAGCACAGGGTGGAACGTGACAGGAAGGGGGTCTGTCCAGGGAGCTCTCACCCCCGCCTGGGCCTCCAGTCCAACGGCCCGTTGGTCACAGCTTTCCTTGGGAACAGAACCCCCTCCTCCTGCCCCGCTCTGACTGCCTGCTCCCCGCTCAAAGTTTGATTTTGAATTCTGTGGGCTGCGTGGTCACAGAGGCCCCCGAGGACTTGAAGAGCGCCTTCAGGATGGTGTCGGGGTCCACCTCGGCCGGAGGGTTGGAGGCGGCAGTGGAGTTCGCCCTGCGAGGCAGCTCGCTCTCCTTTCTCACCGAGGGGCTGTCACTCAGCCGCCTGTGGGCAGGGAAGAGCCAAGATCCTTGTCAGTTTCCGAGATGCACAGGGGCCCGGTTCACCCATCTGTACAAGCTAGGCCCGAATGCAGGGCTCTCTGCCGCCTACCACTCATCTGCAGCAGACCTGCCACTTTCTTGTGTGCTGAGGAGGTGCAGCCTGCTGCCAGCTTAGAAAACAATACACTCCCTCAGGATGCCACACACACATTAGCATGCAATACATTCTGGGAAGTCTCGAAGCAAAGAAATGTTTAACTCTGTTTAGCCCAATGGTTCTCAGACTTCTTAGGTCATAGGACACACACATTTCGGAATACAACTTAGTCCTGGAATAAAGCTTAAGAAACTTGTCCAAATCACACAATTCAATATCCAGGATTTACATTCCGGGCTTTCTAAATTTCAGTCTACTTCAGGCCTGCCCGCCCTGGCGAATCTCACATCCTCCCAGGTCTCTGCCTCCTTGTCTGTAAAAGGACAGCCTACACGCGAGGCCCCGCAGTCCTGTGCCCGGCACGAACGCCCAGACCTCTGACCCAGACCGAGGGCAGCAGCGTCTCCGTCAGTCAGTCACGGGAGGTGGGGCTCGCTGTCCCCTTGACAGTACACTCAGTTTTGCAAAGGGGGACACATCTGGCCTGCTCTCCACTTTCTTCTTAGTGTTTCTAGATTATAGGCTGGGAACAGGTTTAATGCTAGCCCGTGAGGCCAAACCCCTGTGGAAAAGGCGAGACCAGCCTCTTTGAACAAAGCTGAGCACCCTGCCTGCCTGCCTGCCAGAAGGGCACAGGAAGTGGGCTGGAGCTGTGTGCAGGCCCTGTCCCCGTCAGGATAGAGGCGATCGGACAGTCAGCGCGGCCGCCTGTGGACTTACAGCAGGATGGGCTGGTCGGAGGTGATGACGTTCCCATTCATGTGAAGGTTGCACTTCATTGGCTGCCCTGAAAAACCAGAGAAGGCTCTCCAGAGACCACTCTCTTCACACAGAAGGACAAGGCTGCCACCCTCATCACGGGGCCACCCACCCACCAGAGCTGCTAGATTCTGAAGCAAAACCCGGGACTAAGAGAATCCCAGTGTGTGAGGTCCATGAAACCTCGGCAATAACAGCACCGAGAAGCAAACTGCAACAGACCTGCTTCACACCGGAGGAGAGGGTGTGGGGGGAAGAGAGAACCAGGACTCGGTGTGAAGCAATTAGTAAGAGAAAATGCTATGCTATGAAATTCAGTGCAAAGAGAATTCAAAAGTATACGTACAGGCTTCCACTTTGTCTACGAAAGATTAATTGTGCTGAGTACTACACTCCCAATTGTGCTGAGTACTACATAAAATAACAAAAAAGAATAAGATAAAGAAAATTTTTAACGTAAACATTAAAAACAGAACAGCACAAAAAGAGAGGATGGAGTCATAGAGAAGTGACGTTTCTCATTGGAATGAAGTTAGTATTAATTTGAAATAGATGCTGATATATTCTATCTACTGGAGATTAGACTCAAAGATACAAAAAACTTGAAAGCAAAAGGAGATATTTATCACCCAAACAGCAACCCTAAGAAACGTGGAGTGGCTATATATCAGCTAAAATAGACATTAAAACAAAAAACGTTACTAGAGACAAAGAGGAATGTTTTGTAAGTGATAAAAGGGGTCATTCCACCAGGAAGAAAACAATTAGGATGATTATAAACATTTATGAAACTAACAAAAGGCTCAAACACATGAAGCAAAAGCTGACAGAAGTGAGAGGAGAAGTAAACGAACAATAGTTGAAGCTTTCAGTTCCGCACGTTCAGTACCAGGCGTCTTGTCCCACATACCCAGGACAAAATTTGAAAAACTCACAAATATATGGAAATTAAACAAAACAACCCTAAATAACCAATGGATCAAAAAAGAAAAACACGGGGAGGATCCAAGATGGCTGCTCGGGTAGACATCTAGCCGCGGCAGCACACAACAATTTCAATGGAATACAACTAAAATGTAGAGTGGACATTGCCCAGAGCTACAGGTAGTCGACTGACTGAAATTTCTACAACAAGAAGGAAAGAGAAAACCAGAAAGAAAATCAGAGGAGCTGAAAAAAAGCCTAAGGTACGGAGACATGCTGCGCGCGCCTGCCCGCCCGCACGCGCGCACGGAGAGGTCGCAGCCGGAGAGGAGGAGAGGGCGGGGAGCCGCCTTTCCTTCCCTAGCAGGAAGGAAATAAAACCCCCAGCCTGGGCTGAACCCCCGAACCGGCAGCGCTGAGCCCCAGTTATGGGCCAGACCCTGGGGACCCAGGCTCCGGCGGGAGGAGACAGGGACGTGAGGCGGAAAAATGGCGAAAGGCAGGGCCCCGGGAGTCGCGCGCAATGCGCGCAGAGGACTGAATGTTGACTCTGATGCTGGGTAGCCCTAGCCGGAAGAAACAAGGCCTCCGGCGGCGCTGAGCCTCAGTCCGGACTGCTCCGAACCCCAGTTCTGGGCCAATCCCTGGGGACCCAGGCTCAGGCAGAGGGAGACGGGGCTGTGAGGTGGAGTCCGGGGAGAGCGGCGAAAGGCCGGGCCCCCGGGACTCGCGCAAACTGCGCGCAGAGGACAGTCTGTGGGACTCGCGCAAACTGCGCGCAGAGGACAGTCTGTTGACTCTGATGCTGGACTTCCCTAGCGGGAAGGAGAAAAAAAAAGCTCTAGGCTGGGGGAACGCGGAGGGGAGCGGAAGCCCCTGCCGGACTCCAGCCAACCGGGCACCAGAAAGGAGGCGGGCCACGAGGCCCCTGGGGGCGTGGGTGCCCCTGAGCCTTTGACCACTGAGCTCGGGCAATGGAGCCAAGGCCGGGGGCTGCTTCCTGGGTGGCGCCGTCCCGGCAACAGGCTGAAGCAGCGCAGGAGCCCGCGGAGAACAAAGGGGTGCCACAGGCCAACCTGCTGAGCTCCCAGGACAAGGAGGAAGAAACCAAAGAAGTTCTCAATGTGAAGAAATCAAGTGAGAGCAAAAAATAGTAAAATTACTTAAGAAAGAATACAAAGAAGATCTTGAAAAATCAAAGACTAAGTCAGAACTCAACTCACCAGCCAACATTGCAACATAAATGCGTTTTAAAAAGAAAAAAAAAGGACAGAATGTTGGAACAGCGACGGCCAGGCCTAGAGTGGCCAGGCACAAGGCAGTGGCAGCCAGACCCGGAGCAGCAACGGCCAGGCCCCAGAACAACAGCAGCCAGAACCAGAGCATCAACAGCCAGCACTGGAGTAGCCAGACCTGGGGCAGTGGCAGCTAGGCATGAGGCGGAGGCGGCCAAGCCCAGGGTGGCCAGTCCAGGAACACCCAGACCCGGAGTGGCCGGGCCCGAAGAAGCCGGGCCCAGAGCAGCCGAGGTGGGAGCAGCCAGACCCAGAACAGCAATAGCCAAGCCCAGAGCATCCAGGTCAGGAGTGGCCAGGCTCGGAGCGGCCGGGCCCGGGGCAGCCGGGCCCAGAGCAGCCGGGTCAGGTGCGGCCAGGCCCGGAGCAGCGGCTGCCAGGCTGGGAGCGGCCAGGCCCGGGGGAGCAGGCAGGGCTGGTGCGGCCAGGCCCGGAGCAGCGGCTGCCAGGCTGAGAGCGGCCAGGCCCGTTGGAGCAGGCGGGTCGGGTGCGGCCAGGCCTGGAGCAGCGGCTGCCAGGTTGGGAGCGGCCAGGCCCGGGGGAGCAGTCAAGTCGGGTGCGGCCAGGCCCGGAGCAGCGGCTGCCAGGCTGGGAGCGGCCAGGCCCGGGGGAGCAGGCGGGTCGGGTGCGGCCAGGCCCGGAGCAGCGGCTGCCAGGCTGGGAGCGGCCAGGCCCGGGGGAGCAGGCGGGGCTGGTGCGGCCAGGCCCGGAGCAGCGGCTGCCAGGCTGGGAGCGGCCAGGCCCGTTGGAGCAGGCAGGTCGGGTGCGGCCAGGCCCGGAGCAGCGGCTGCCAGGCTGGGAGCGGCCAGGCCCGGGGGAGCAGGCGGGGCTGGTGCGGCCAGGCCCGGAGCAGCGGCTGCCAGGCTGGGAGCGGCCAGGCCCGTTGGAGCAGGCGGGTCGGGTGCGGCCAGGCCCGGAGCAGCGGCTGCCAGGCTGGGAGCGGCCAGGCCCGGGGGAGCAGGCGGGTCGGGTGCGGCCAGGCCCGGAGCAGCGGCTGCCAGGCTGGGAGCGGCCAGGCCCGGGGGAGCAGGCGGGTCGGGTGCGGCCAGGCCCGGAGCAGCGGCTGCCAGGCTGGGAGCGGCCAGGCCCGGGGGAGCAGGCGGGGCTGGTGCGGCCAGGCCCGGAGCAGCGGCTGCCAGGCTGGGAGCGGCCAGGCCCGTTGGAGCAGGCGGGTCGGGTGCGGCCAGGCCCGGAGCAGCGGCTGCCAGGCTGGGAGCGGCCAGGCCCGGGGGAGCAGGCGGGTCGGGTGCGGCCAGGCCCGGAGCAGCGGCTGCCAGGCTGGGAGCGGCCAGGCCCGGGGGAGCAGGCGGGGCTGGTGCGGCCAGGCCCGGAGCAGCGGCTGCCAGGCTGGGAGCGGCCAGGCCCGGGGGAGCAGGCGGGTCGGGTGCGGCCAGGCCTGGAGCAGCGGCTGCCAGGCTGGGAGCGGCCAGGCCCGGGGGAGCAGGCGGGGCTGGTGCGGCCAGGCCCGGAGCAGCGGCTGCCAGGCTGGGAGCGGCCAGGCCCGGGGGAGCAGGCGGGGCTGGTGCGGCCAGGCCCGGAGCAGCGGCTGCCAGGCTGGGAGCGGCCAGGCCCGGGGGAGCAGGCGGGTCGGGTGCGGCCAGGCCCGGAGCAGCGGCTGCCAGGCTGGGAGCGGCCAGGCCCGGGGGAGCAGGCGGGTCGGGTGCGGCCAGGCCCGGAGCAGCGGCTGCCAGGCTGGGAGCGGCCAGGCCCAGAGCAGCAGCAGCCAAGTCCAGAGCAACTAGGTCGGGAGCGGCAGTGACCAGACCCGGAGCAGCTGGTTGTGGAATGAACCAGAGCAACAGAGGCCAGGCCCTGAGCAGCCTGGCCCAGAACAGCTCGCTCCTTGCCTGCCCCTGCCCCACGGCTGCTTCTCAGACATGGCTGGAAACTTTTGTGGGAACTTGAGGGTCTGCTGAATCAAGTGGTGAAGGCTTAGATCTGGATGTGTTGCGTTAGTTTAGGACTGGGGTGTTGATCTGTGAGTGCCTTGGGTGGGGCCTGGATGAGGCTGGTTGACCTAGTGGGAAATATCTTTTGTGTGAAGTGTATCATTGGACATGTGGAGGTATTATTGATATGAGAAAATGCTAAGTAACTGATTTACTATCTGAAAAGGGATTTACTATTGGGGAAATTGAGGGAAGAAGAGACTGAACATAAACTGCACCTATGGATGAGGACAATGGGGGATGGGGGAGGGGACGGAGGGTGGGGTGGGAACCTGGTGGAGGGGGGAAGAAATGAGGAACCTTTGTAATAATATGAACAATAAAGATTGATTTAAAAAAAAAACAAAAAAAAACAATGAACAAAAAAAAAAAAAAAAGAAAAAGAAAAAAAAAGAAAAAGAAAAAGAAAAACACTAGGTAACTAGAAAATACTTTGAGATGAATGAAAATAAAAACACAACATATCAGTACTCATGAGCTGTGGCTAACACAGTGCTGAGAGGAAATAAATCGCTCTAAATGCAGAGGATAAAAAAGGAGTGAAAAGACAAACCACATATTGGGAGAAATTACTGACAAGCCATTTATCTAAGAGACCTATATCAAGAATACATAAGGAGCCTTGGCCTGAATGGCTCAGTGGATAGAGAATCAGCCTGTGGACTGAGGGTCCTGAGTTCGATGTTTCTCTCACATCGATATTTCTCTCTCTCTAAAAATCAATGGAAAATACCCTCGGGTGAGGATAAAAAATAAAAAAAAAGATATTGAAATAAAAAAGGACAAATAAATTCTTAAAAGAATATATAAAGAACTCTTACAACTCAGTGATAAAAGACAATTCAAAAAGTAGACAAAGATTCTGAATAGACATTTCTCTGAGGAAGATACACAAATGGCCAAAAAGCACACAAGATGCTCACAGCATCAGTTAGTAGGAAATGCAGACTCAACTCCCGGTGGTTTCTGCCCCTCCGCTGCAAGCGCAGGGCCTCGCTCCACAGGAAGGACTCAACACACACCGAAAAGCACAAATGGGTGGGCAGGAGGGCCGCAGCAGACAGCGTTCCCCTCTAGGCCGCCCCGAGATGAATAACGGGGAGTCTGCACTCAGTGAAATCAGTGGTTTACTCACTGAAAGCAGAGCTCACCGGGTGCCAATAGTTAGATGAGGCCGAGACCGGTTTGGCTCAGTGGATAGAACATCGGCCTGCAGACTGAAGGGTCCCAGGTTCGATTCCGGTCAAGGGCATGTACCTTGGTTACGAGCACATCCCCAATAAAGGGTATGCAAGAGGCAGCTGATCGATGGTTCTCTCTCATCGATGTTTCTGACTCTCTATCCCTCTCTCTTCCTCTCTGTAAGTAATCAATAAAATATATATATTTAAAAATAGTTAGATGAGGCGCCAGGCCATTAAGGAGGCTGTGTCCTAGCACTGAGCAGACCAGCAGCTAGCAGGGAGGCATCCACGGAGCAGGTGTTCCCCTGCTAGCTCAGGTGCCAGGCAAGGGGACACCCAGGGCTGGTGGGACAGGAGCTGGCAGCTCAGCACCACCAGAGACTGCACCTTCCTGCCTGCTCTTGTACAGAAGGCCCAGCAGTGACCGCACCAGGATGCCCTCTCCCCACGGCAGAGAGAGGCTGGCTCTGAGGCCTGCTGCCCGGCAGTAAACAGTAAGGAGTGGGAAGGGAAAGTAGCTGCTTTCTCCCAACTTACCATCCAGACACCGGTTGTTATATTTCTTATAGGCAGTGATGGCATCATCCTTCTTCACAAAAACCACCTCTGCTACCCCCGGATGGACCAGCCGAGCCCGCTTCAGGGCTCCACATACACAGAAAAGCTCCTGCAAAGCAGAGGGGACAGGGTCAGCGGAGAAGTTCAGGCCGTCGTCCTGCCTGCCAGTCACACACTGCGAGGGCTCTGGATTGACTGGTGGCCGCACTATGGCAGAATGTGCCCATGATTTCAGGGAAGCTCCACTCCAGGCGGTGTTCTTGGGATGTCCACAGCCCCAGCATGGACCAGAGGAGGGGACAAGCTGTGCAGAAATGAGAAATGGGCCTGAGCTTACAGCCATGGGTCGTGTGGCATTCAACAAGTCACGCCCATAGTCCTCTTGCCTGGGTGCCCGCTTCCTTCCTCAATGGGGTAACAGTTATGGAATTTCTCTGACAACTCTGACAGGAGAATGAATATGTGGGCTTATCAAGTAATGACAGTGGCGAGTATGCTGCACAGCAATCTGTTAGAAATACATTCTGGAGCTCTGCGAGGAGCGACCCATTCCGCTGACATGGAAGTGGCTGGAGACGGGAAGTTCTGGCAGGGCACAATACTCACCACAATGTCCTCCTCGGTGACCCTAGGGTGCAGGTTATTCACAGTCATCTTGGTCCCTTCCAAAGGGCTGAGGACAGGCTGCCGCAGACAAGAGCGTTAGCGAAGGCAGAGGACACTGGGCTCAACAGCGAACTCGCTCTGGACACGTGACCTGGAGGCCCACCTCCTACCGGACACCTCAGCGCCCATCACGCCCCTCCCCATGCTAAGGGGTGGAGCCTCTTGCTTCCAGTAAGCAGAGCCCTCAGGCGCCTGTGCCTCTGCCTGGAATGCCTCTCCTATTTCCAGACCCACCAGCTCAGCCTTCCCGGCTGTGCCCAGGGGACTCAGCTGCGCTCTCCTCAGCCTCCAGCAGCTCTCTGAGCACAACTGTTGCATCGCCAGACAGAAGCTCAGGGGCCGCTGGGTCTTGGTTTGCTCATTAGTAAAACGGGGGTGGCAATGCCTACCTCAGAGAGGCGCTGTGAGGACGCAACAGGGTACACAGAGCACACTACCCACCCAGCACAGGCTGACTCTCTACGGGTGTGATCACTTCACTTCCTCCCCTTCACCTTCACCTCACCTCAGCAGGCGGCAGCTCTTTGGGGGTGTCCTCCTTGTTCACTAGTGTCCGGGACATGCTGGTCAAGGCTTTTGTTCGGACCGAGGCTGGGAGCGCAGGTGCTGTGTACGCATCATTCTGCACCACTTTGGTGAGGGGGGCGGCCTTGGACACAGACAGCTTGGAACTGCTCAGTCCGGCCTAAGGAAGAGGCAGACAGGAAGGAAGCGGAGAGGCCAGCGAGCTGAGTGCCAGGTAGGGACTGACAACTGCCACCCGTGAGCCCCCACCGTCCCCCAATCCCACTAGTGGCCTGAAGCCAAAAGGCTGCCGGTGACGTCCCCAGGGAAGGAGAAAGGGAAGAAACACACCGCCTGCACTCGCGATCACAGGAGCCCCTTTGCAGAGGGAGCAGCCCTTGGCGAGAGGCTGACACGCAGCCCTGACCAGGGTCCACAGGCTCACTCATACCGTTAGACCGCCTTTACCTGAACAAGTCTGACATGCTTTAGACTTCATAAAAACCCTATTGGGGCTGGTCGGAAGGTCAAAAGCTTGGAATCAAGTACATTTCTACATATGCTTCTATCACAATGGACTGATCAGCTCCTAAGAAGGCCCAGACTCCCAGTTTCCTGGTCCCTGTTCTGGCTCTACAGGGGCACCAGACAGGCCTGGCCCTAGCAGCTCCCAGAATGTCAGGGGACATGCAGACCTCCGTGATGTGCCTGACGTTGCTTTCTTTCCTGCAAGACTGCACTGGTGGGTGAGGTTCAGATTGCTTTGCTAACCTACTAACCAAGGGAATCCAGATTAAGAGCAGAGGAAAGGGGAGCACATAGATGCCCCGCTGTGAATGAAAAAACATGAATTCCTCCCTTGGGGTCAGCACGTTTCTCACAAAGCGTCTCAAACCTGAACCAATGGGGAGCTGGAGCTCTGCACCTCACGACCTGTGGGACCTTGAACAAGTCACTAGACACTCGGTCTCGGTATCGATAAAATACCGAGGGGTTGGACTAGTTCCAGTTCTGAAAATCTTAAGCCCAAATGAAGAACTATATCGGGAGTCGAAAGGCCAATTCCCCACCACCTCTACCATCCAACTAATGAGACACACAGCCATGTCGGCACCACAGAACCCCTACCATGTGGTGCAGAAAGCTGCTGGAGGCTGTCAGCTTCGTCTGTTTACTAGGAATGGGAGTTGCAATGTCATCGTCTTCATCCAGGTCGTACAGATTCTGAAAATAAATCAATATAAGCTAATGTGGCCTCCAGGCTGCCAAAAGCATCGGGAGCGGGGACGGAGGGAGAGGGCTGGCGGGAGCAGGGCGTGTGGGTGCCTGAGGGGCTGAGTGAGGCTCAGGTCCTGACAGGTGGCTCCCCGCCCACAGGGGCAGAGAGTGCTGCGGCTTCCAGGCACATCCTTTCTGCAAGTGGCCAAGGCCTAGGAAGAGTCCCCAAATGGCTGCTCACACCCTTGGGCGTGGAGAGCCCGCCCTGGCATTTGGCCTATGGAAACAAACCAAACCCCAGAGAGAACGCACCCACAAAGATGCCAGAGTTTCTAACAGTGAGAAGTACAGTAAAATGGCTTAAACCAACTGGAATGTCAGCTCAAGGGCTTATGTGGTTACACACCAGTTAATTGCCACGCGGCCAAATGGAAACCATTCCGCTTGCATCTATAGACGCTATGGCATATAAAGGGTTAGAAATGTTTGTTTGTTTGTTTTTATTTTTATTTTTTTTTATTTTTTTTTTTAATATATTTTATTGATTTTATACAGAGAGGAAGGGAGAGAGATAGAGTTAGAAACATCGATGAGAGAGAGTCATCAATCAGCTGCCTCCTGTACACCTCCCACTGGGGATATGCCTCAACCAAGGCACATGCCCTTGACCGGAATCGAACCCGGGACCTTTCAGTCCCCAAGCCGACGCTCTATCCATTGAGCCAAACCGGTCCCGGCTGTTTGTTTGTTTTTACAATAAATGTAAACACAGAAAAAAACTTGAGTTATAAAGTGAAAAAGGAATGATACAGAATCGGATTAAGAATATAACCATAGCCCGGCCGGCGTGGCTTCGTGTTTGAACATCAACCCATGAATCAGGTGGTCAGGGTTCGATTCCTGGTCAAGGGCACATGCCGGGGTGGCTGACTCAATCCCTAGAAGGAGACGTGCAGGAGACAGCCGATTCATAATTCTCTCTTCTCAATGATGTTTTTCTCTCCCTCTCCTTCTCCCATCCTGTCTGGAATCAATAAAAATATATTAAAGAAAGAAAAAAGAGCCGAAACCTGTTTGGCTAGTGGATAGAGCATAGGCCTCCGGACTGAAAGGTCCCAGGTTCGATTCCGGTCAAGGGCATGTACCTAGGTTGCAGGCACATCCCTGGTGGGGGGTGTGCAGGAGGCAGCTGATCAATGATTCTCTCTCATCAATGTTTCTAACTCTCTATCCCTCTTCCTTCCTCTATGTAAAAAATCAATAAAATATATTTTTTAAAAAGAGAAAAAAAAGAATATAACCACAGCTACAACTATGCAATAATTAAATATAATGCCATTTAAAAAAACAGGAAGGAACAGGGCAGAATTTCAACAATGGTTGGCTTAGGACAGTGGTCAGCAAACCGCAGCTCTCGAGCCACATGCGGCTCTTTGGCCCCTTGAGTGTGGCTCTTTCACAAAATACCACGGGCTGGGCAAGTCTATTTTGAAGAAGTGGCATTAGAAGAAATTTTAGTTTAAAAATTTGGCTCTCAGCCGAAACCAGTTTGGCTCAGTGGTAGAGCGTCGGTCTGCGGACTGAAAGGTCCCAGGTTCGATTCCAGGCAAGGGCATGTACATTGGTTTCGGGCACATTCCCAGTGCGTAACTCTGGGCATCGGCAGCTGGCTGATGTTTCTCTCTCATCGACGTTTCTAGCTCACTCTCTCTCTCTCTCTCTCTCCCTTCCTCTCTGTTAAAAATCAATAAAATATATTTTTAAAAAGAAAATTTGGCTCTCAAATGAAATTTCAACCGTTGTACTGTTGATATTTGGCTCTGTTGACTAATGAGTTTGCCGACCACTGGCTTAGGAGAACTGGAGCATAGGAAACTTCTGCCGAAACCAGTTTGGCTCAGTGGATAGAGCGTCAGCCTACGGACTGAAGGGTCCTGGGTTCAATTCTGGTCAAGGGCATGTACCTTGGTTGCGGGCACATCCCCGATGGGGGAGTGTGCGGGAGGCAGCTGATTGATGGTTCTCTCTCATTGATGTTTTAGCTCTCTATCCCTCTCTCTTCCTCTCTGTAAAAAATCAATAAAATAGCCAAAACCGATTTGGCTCAGTGGTAGAGCGTCGGTCTGCGGACTGGAGGGTCCTGGGTTCGATTCCAGTCGGGGGCATGTATGTTGGTTGTGGGCACATCTCCAGTGGGGGGTGTGCAGGAGGCGGCTGGTCGATGTTTCTCTCTCATCAACATTTCTAGCTCTCTGTCTCTCTCCCTTCCTCTCTGTAAAAATCAATAAAATATATTTTTTTAAAAAATCAATAAAATATATAATTTTTTAAAAAGCAACTTCTTCTTAATCTTTCTCTAGTTTGTAAATTTTCTGTATTAAGCACAATTTTAAAGATTTTTTTTCCAATTTGCTTCTGCCTCTTATTTTTCTCTCCTCAGTTGTAAAACCTCTCCTTTTTAAAAAAAATGTATTTTATTGATTTTTTTACAGAGAGGAAGAGAGAGGGAGAGAGAGTTAGAAACATCGATGAGAGAGCAACATCGATCAGCTTCCTCTTGCACCCACCCCCACTGGGGATGTGCTCGCAACCAAGGTATATGCCCTTGACCGGAATCGAATCTGGGACCCTTGAGTCCGCAGGCCGACGCGCTATCCACTGAGCCAAACCGGTTAGTAAAATTTCTTCTTAAAACTCATAAAATACAATCAAATGTAATTCTTCCCAATTCTTCAAATTGTGAACCTTGAAGTAGCATCAGTTAATTTACCCAGCAGGTCCAATCAAAACACATTTGTGTACACACACACACAGTCTCTACCTGTCTGGCCTGGTGATTGTTGACGACATTAATCCTCATTCCAGCAGGATGGGTGTGAGGTGGTGTCACGGCCTTCTGCTGTGGAACCTAGAAACACCCGCTGGTCACAATTCATCACACAGGCCCACATCCCTCTCCATGGTCACTCAACTTGAAATATGAGGGGCACTCCGTTGGTCTTTGGTAAAAGGCCCTACAGAGCGCCTCAGACCAAAAGAGTAGTGACAGGAAGCCTCGCCGTCCCAGAGATCACCTGGCGAGGCATGTGCAGGGCTCAATGAACCGGCTCCGTGCATGCTCCCTGCTGCGCTGTTCCTGTCCCCAGTGTGTGGAGATGAAATGCTCTTGCTTCCATTCCCTTTGGGTGGAGACTGTGCGGTGGCCAGGCACTGTGTGAGGAGCTACGTAACTCTGGGCATAATTCACATCTCCGAGACCGGGGCTCTTGGATAAAACTGAGGCATGAACCCCGGGTTGCAGTGAGCAGTGCAGTGAGTGGGGGAGGTCATACATGGCAGTGCCTGCCAGGTAGCACACGCTCCATAAACGTTTTGTCCCTCCGCCGCTAGCTCGCCTGGGAAAGGCACTTCACTTCATTGGACCGGCCCGCTTTTATATAAAACTGGGCAATGCCCTGCCTTCCTCATACGGCTCCTACACCAACCCAGGAAGGCAATGTTCCCCTAACGCCCCTGACCCCTGCTCCCTGCAGAGCCTGTAGCTGTTACTGGCTCCTTGGGACTCAGGACAAGAGCCATGCCTACCTGGATGGTTTTGGTGAGCTTCAGCGCGGGGGTCACCGTCCCGATGGGGGGGCTCATGAAGGAGGCAGGGGAGCTCCGCTTCAAGCTGAGCTTCTCCCGGGCATCGGCCACCTGGTGGGGCCTCTGGGGAGCCATGCTCTGCTGCTTGCGGGAGTTCAACATCTCTCTGGCATCCTGCACTTTCCCTTTGATCCGGAAACGAGCATCTTTCTGCAACAGCTTTTCTCGGGCATCCTTGACTCCCAGCTTGAGCCGGGCATCCGAGAGGCCAATCTTCTGCCGGGCATCAAACTTCTGCTGGAAGGTGGCTGTGCGTGCTGGCGGACTGAGGAAGCTCTGCTGGATCCCAACGTACGATCGGACGCCTCCAACTCCTGGTCTGACACTGAGCCTGCAAGTGAAAATTGTAACATTAAGCCCAGCTGGCATGGCTCAGGAGCTGAGCAATGACCTATGAACCTGGAGGTTTCGGTTCTATCCCCAGTCAGCGCTCATGCCCGGGTTCAGGCTTGAGCCTCAGTGCGGGTTGTGCAGGAGGCAGCTGATGAGTGATTCTCTCTCGGCGATGTTTCTATCTTTCTCTCCCCCCCGTCTAACTTCCTCTGTGAAATCTATTAAAAAAATACATATTTAAAAAAAATTTTCATGCTTATGTGAATTCCTCATGTGCGTGTATTGATATTTTATTTTCTTCTGTTAATCTGTCTGTTAATTTGATTAGCCCAGCTAGAAGAACTTCAAAGGTGGAAGGAAAGTACTATAGGTATACTAGAGACCCAATGCACAAAATTCATGCAAGGTGGCCCTCTCAGCCCTGGCTTCGTCTGGAAGGTTGTTGGGCTGTCCGTTCTCGTTAGCATATTGTTTTTATTATTATAGATTTTTAGCACCTACTGGTTTTATTTTTTAATGATTTCAACTCCCTACATCTGTTGATGATGCCCATCACAGAAAAGTAACCGACTATCAGTTCACACTAGGAGCTGCTACTGAGGGCCTACTCATAAAACAGGGGAAAATAATTTGATCAATACGTAAGGTCCAGATAGATAACACTGAAGTTAGTGGAAAGCACTCCAGATGAATCCTTCACTCGTCAGGCACTGAATGCCCCCCTTCCCACCCCCACCTCCCCAAGCCAGAGGCCCTGGGCCCAGCAATCAAGTGACCAAAAGGGCAGGGCAAGGAACAGGTCTCCTGAGGCTCTAACTTGGGGGTGGAGGCACACAGGTAATCACCAGCTCCTGTTCTAGGAAAGCCCCCAGTCTGTGGGGACACCACACGCAGGACACCTGCAGGGCGGTGGGCAGGCTAAAAGGCCGAGGTGTCTGGAAAGAGGAGTCCAAGGGCATTGTGGGCAGACGAGGGAACTGTGCACTAAGCCAGCTGGGGGCTTCTTTGCTCTTGCGGTTCTGGCAGCAGGCACAGTAAGCTCCCGCCTTCCGTTCTTTCCCTTCCCCGTATCACTCCACAGCGGGACAAGGCTCCCGTTTAGGCACTTACCATGCTGCATCACAACGATCTGTCTACAAGCCTGCATCCCCTGGGATGAACTAAGAGCTTCGCAGGGGCACACTCTGCAGCGCCTGACTAGTGTCTTCCTGGCACCAGGGGAATGACAAAGGCTCAGACAGCTTTTTGATCCTGAGACCCAGGCCCCTACAAGGCTCCTATCTATCATTAACCTTCCAGGATCACGATCGTGTTAGTTGCCATCACCTCATCTCCTCTGTACGAATTAAATCACAGCGCTAGTAGCATGGCTGAGACTGGACAGCAGGTCCACGTGACTCCAGAGCCCACAATCTTTCCACTGTAACAGGCCCAAGCTCCCCTCCTTCCTACTCCAAGCCCCAGGGGAGGAGAGAGGAGTGATGGTGCCCCTGAAAGCGCCTCTCCTAAAGACTGCCCCGCATGGCAGCCCTCTGTCCAGCCCACCGACCAGCCCAACACCCTGCTGGGATCCTCCCAGCTACTCCCCACGCAGCCAGAGCACAGAGAAACCAGGGCTTGACCCTAAAAATGGGACGCACAGGATTGTACCTGCCCAGGTAGGGGCATTACAAACAGAACCAGGCTGCATGTGAGCACATCCACTCGGGGGTTCAGACACGTCCTAATCCAAAGGCGAGCCTGTCCTGAAGATCTCCTTTCTCCGTCTGCCTTCTCCAAACCCCACCTCCTCCCTTCTCCAGGACCCCTCATTACCAAAGGTCCCTGATATTGTAGCTGAAGGAGGAGATGCTCTTATCATGTGGTGCCCCCTGTGACTTTACAATACCATGAAATTGGGCAAATCTAGCCACCATGCCCTCAATTACACTTTCAACAAAGAAAACAATGCCCATAAAATAGGGGGCAAAAAGATAACCAACTGAAAGTGATTATTTTGAATAACTAAAAGAACAATGAGCTTCTTCCTTTTTTTTTTTTTTTTTAAAGTAGCGTTTATTCACAATCACCAAAATCTGAAAACACACCAAATGCCAACCGTCAGGTAATACATTATGATGCACATTATGATATATCCATACAAAATATCACTCAGCGGTAAAAAGGAATGAACTTTTGATACACCAAGCAACACAGATGAAACTCAAAAACACTGTGCTGAGTAAAAGAAGCCAGACATTAAGATTTCATATTAGCTGAGACCGGTTTGGCTCAATGGATAGAGCGTCGGCTTGGGGACTGAAAGGTCCCAGGTTCGATTCCGGTCAAGGGCATGTACCTTAGTTGCAGGCATATCCCCGGTAGGGCGTGTGCAAGAGGCGGCTGATCGATGACACTCTCTCATCGATGTTTCTAACTCTCTATCTCTCTCCCTTACTCTCTGTACAAAATCAATAAAATATATATATTTTTAAAAAGATTTCATATTAAAAGACTCCGTTTCTATGAAGTTCTAGAAAAGGAAAGCATCTGTAGCAAACATGTCAAACTCAAAAGGCTAACTCAGGCCAAATAAACAAGATATGTGGTCAGGGGCTGCGAGTTTGACATGCTTCATCTACAGTAACAGTAACCAGAGCAGTGGCTACAGAGAGAATGAGATGCTTGAAAACAAATTTCATATATCTGAACAGAGAATGGAGAAAAGGACAAATTAGTAAGCCTACTTAGGAGGGCCAATGGCGAGTAGGCCTCTATAACCTTATTTATTCATACTCCTCAACAATCTCCCTCTCTGATGATCAGTAATGGTTCTTAAGCACTCTACTGAGAATTCACAGGAGTCTATGGTTGCTAAGCAATGCCTGCCATGGCCACACAGGGGCACTGGCCAGCAGGGTGCATGAAAGATTCCATAAAGATGGTCTCAACTAACAGTCCTGAGCACGTACTAAAGGTCCATAGACTCTGACACACCTCCTTTAACCCTCCCAACTCTGAGAATGAGGTTATCATCCATATTTCATAGAGAAAACAGAATCCCAATTGCAGAGCTATCATGGCGAAGGCTGGACTTGAACTTCACTGTACCTAAAGTCCCAATAAATTAAGCATGGGTCAAAAATAAAGGCCAGGACTTGGAGAGCTAAGGCAGGGTGGGTGCTGCGCCAGGCTAAGGAAAACCAGGACGTCAGTCATGTTGAGGGAGAAAGCTCTCTCAGTGGCTGGAGGGTGAGTGCACACACAGGGGACCCACACACCGTACTGCCTGTCGGGCAAGAAGGACCACCAAAAACACCAGCCTTGAGCTCCCGTGCTTCCATGTGCAGGCTGTATAACCACTGCTCCTCCTCCTCCAGCAGGAAAACAGCCATTCAGCCCAGCAGGTAGCAGCAGTGGTGATAAAGCAGGCACAGTCATCAGGAATTTCCTAATGAACATTCCTGCTAAAGCAGGCTCTAAAACATGGAGTCAATTAGAGTACCTTTGCCCCAAGAACTGCTGAGGGTCCCCTAACAAAGCCCAGCCTCCCTCAGTGGAGCCCCTGATCTGGCCCAACGTGCAGCCTCACCTCCAAATGCAGGCTCTCGGAGGTTCCTGTCCTCAGTGAGTGTTGGCAGAGGGCAGCAGGACATTTTAAACAAGTCTCGTAACTGCCCACCTTGTCACACTCCAACCCGTGCCCCGCTGCACTGCCTCAGCCATCCGCCAGGCGTCCTCGGGGCCTTGGGAAGAGAGCTGTGCAGTAAATGCCCGCTGGGTCTAAGCTCTTTCTCCCAGACCCGACTGGAGCCGGGACACGTGATGCCCAAAAAGGGCTTGTGTGGGGCCGGAAGGCCTCGCTCTCCTGGCTCTATCTGTGGAGCACAGAGTGGCAGCTGGCTCTGGACCTAAGTCCAGACCCAAGGATTCAGGCCAATGACGGGCATGGATTATTACAAAGTGAATTTAACCCCTGGGGATCTCTGGGTTAGAGTGCAAGTGTGCTGAGCTCATCTTTGTAGGGAGAAAACACAGTTTCGTCCCATTACCCTGTGTCAATTGTGAATTAGGTACTTTACTATTATTTTTAAATTTGGAACACTTCACAACTTTGCGTGTCATCCTTGCGCAGGGGCCACGCCGTCTTCTCTGCCTCATGCCAATGTTAGGGTCCGTGTTGCTGAAGCGAGCACTGAGTTTAGGTACTTTAGGGACATAAAGAAAAATAACCACTAACCTCTTACCTTCCCAGAGAGTCCTGTGCAAATGTCTCATTTTCAATACTAATTCTTTCCCTCTGAGTTATGTAGTAATTAATTTTCCTGTTTTAGGCATCCATTTCCTTTATCCTTTTCAACAGAGAAATAAGCACGGAGGACCCAGACCAGGGCCCTGGCCTGAACTCCCACCTTCCCTGGTTCCAAGGACCCCTCCCTCCCACAGGGCTCGTGGCCCAGGGCTGCCCAGCTCCAACACTCAAGGCCCAGCTTTCCCACCAGGGCTGCCCGCCAGCTCACCTAACACAGGGCAGCGGGCAGACCGCTATCCCGAGGAGTAAGCTAATCGAACCAGCTGCTGTCTTGACAAACACAATGAGCGACGCTCTCACATGCAGAGGGAGAAATGACCAACTGGTGCCCAGTGCTGTCCTGAGGAGACTCACCGATGAGTCTTGAGCAACTGAGGTCACCAGAGATGTGCCATGCGTGGGAAAAAGTGCCTCACCATGGCCTGGATGAAGGAGCACTCAAAACTCCCCCCCTCCCCCCATCCCCGGTTCTGTAATTTTCACTTAATCAAGGAAAGCTCCGATAACTCACTGGAGTCAGGTAATGATGATAGAGAATGGGGCCCAGGTAATGATGATGATAGTGACCCCTTTCCTGACTTACAAGGTGCAATGAACATGAAACAGAAAGACTGTCTGTTCTTAAGTATAAGCACATTCCATGCCCTGTGGGGAAAAGGTTATTTACCCTCCACAGGCTGTCTTCTGCTATGCCCATCCAGACGACAGGCATTTTCTGAGATAATCACAGGTTCTTCCTCAAGTTTTAAGATAAAAGTTCCTGGAACATCCATGCAATGTTAAACCAAAGTTCCCAGGAAGGAATCTCCTGGAGACCTGCCCGCAACCAAAGTACAAAAACCGGTTTTGGCAATATAAACGTCTTCATAACCCCAAAAGTTCCCTGGTGCCCAGGTGCAGACCATCTCCTCCCCTTTCCCCTGCAAGTCCAGGCAACTACCGTTTTCTGTGTTGAGGTTCTCCAGAACACCGTGTAAGTGGAGTCACACAACGTGTAGCTGCTTGGCCTGTCTCACTTGGCATAATGTGTTTAAGACCTATCCATGTTTTTGTATTTTATTACTTAGTTTCCCATTAAGTGGTGACTTTTAATTCAATAAGTAAATAAATAAAGCAGATTTATTCAAACACAGCATGCAGTCGTTCCTTTCACACTCGGCCTGCATTTCCCCAATCAGCCTGCACGTCACAGCAGAGCACTTCTCACACGGGGACTGCTGATGCCCTCGGAGAACGAGTGCTCCTCGGACGCTTCTGAGGCACTTTGGATATTAATCCTCCTGGTGCCTGCTGGCAACAGCCTAATGCAGTCAGGGCTACCCACACTTTATCCGTAAGGAAATGGTTACGGAACCTGCATCAGATTAATGGCAGGTGGGAGAAGCAGGGGCCTGAACTCTGCATTCTGACTCTGGGCCCCAATGCATACCTCCCATGATCCTCCTCCTTTAAGGCCCATGACAACTGCCACCACTTGCTGAACACTTACTACCTGGCACAAACTTTAAAATGTACTCTCACATTCTCACATTCACACCTCTCCCCGATCTACCAGCAACCTTCATTACAAATGAGGAAGGTAGCTGAAACCGGTTTGGCCCAGTGGATAGAGCGTCGGCCTGCGGACTGAAAGGTCCTAGTTCGATTCCTGTCAAGAGCATGTACCTTGGTTGCGGGCACATTCCCAGTAGGGGGTGTGCAAGAGGCAGCTGATGGATGATTCTCTCTCGTCGATGTTTCTAACTCTCTCTCCCTCTCTCTTCCTCTCTGTAAAAAATCAATAAAATATATTATTTAAAAAAAAAACAAAAAACACAAAAAAACAAATGAAGGTGCCAGCTCAGAAGTCATCCCGGCCAGGGAGACACAGAACCCCACAGCGGGGCTGCAGGGACCAGGTGTGCCCCCCACGGATTCACCACCCGCTTCCCTGCAACCTCCCCCACCTTCCCCACTACCACACGCGAGACTCTGCGCACATCACAGCCCAACAGTCCGGACCACAGCAGGGCCCCTGGCCTCGGCACCGGGGAGAGGGGCTCCCTCAGCAACTGCCCAGCAACAAGTGGCGGAGGACCCAGCGCCAAGGCTCCGCCAGTCCCGGAGGGAGGAAGCGGCCCAGGAGAGGCATGCCCCCGGAATGGAGGAAATTCATGCTGAGGGCGGTCCTGCGCCAGAAGCCGGCCGAGGTGCGGGCAGCTGGGCCGGGGTGGGGGGAGGCGGGACTCATTTTATTTCTTTTTCATTTTATTTTTTTTTGTGTGAAACTCATTTTCGACAGCAAGGGAATGAATCTTATTTTCTAGCCTCGAGCACCGGGAGGTGCTAAAATAACACACACACACACAACGGTATGTAACTTCACAGCCTGGCTGTTTGCAAACAGTTCAACTACTGTAGCGTGTGCGGGAAGCCAGGGCCAGGCCCCCTCCGCCCGGGGCTCCCGCAGGCAGGAGGGGCCCACACCGGAGGGGCCTGAGAGAGCGGGCCCGGCCCCCCACCCCTGCCGAGGCCCCGGGGGCGGCAATGGGCGCGCACACCCGCTCGCCGCGGCCTCGGACCCGCCGGCCTCGCGCCCGCATCTGTGAAATGGGACGACGTGCCGGCCGGCCCCCGGGGCCGGGAAAAGCCACGGAGGCTAAGCGTCCTCGGCGCTCGGAGTCCCGCACCCCGTACCCCGCACCCCGCGGCGGGGGCCGGAGCGGCTCGGAGGGCGGTGGGCGCAGGAGGGGGAGTGCGGTCCGCGCAGAGGCCGAGCCCGGGCGCCGGGGAGGCCCGGGCGCCGTCCCGCCGGGAGGGGCTGCGCCGGGGAAGCTCTCGGACCCGGGACAGCCCCGCCCCCTGAGGGCACCCCCGGCGGCTCCCACAGGCCGCGCACCCGGCCCCGCCGCCGCCCGCGGCCCCCGGCCCCCCGGCCCCCCGGCTCCCCGAAACAGCGGCGCCTCCAGCCGGTGGGCGGCCGGCGGCCCGGCCTGTGGCGGCGGCGGCGGCGGCCCCCGGGCCAATGAGCGGCGCGGCCACGGCAGGGGGCGGGCGCAGGAGGCCCTCGGTCGCCCCGGGCCGCTCCCTCCTCCACCCCGAGCCGCGCTAAGCCACGGGCCCTACACCCCGAAGGGAGAAAAGGCCACTTACCTCCCCTTTGCCGCTGCTCCCCGTTTCCGGATGAGCTCGTCCAGGGAGATGTCCGCCATCTTACACCACGGAGCAGCCAGGATCCCCCTCACTCCTCGAGCCCGCCCCTCCAGTCGCTACGGAGGAATTGTTTCCGGCGTCTCCTCGACGAATTCTCGCGACAGTTCCAAGGAGGCAAGGACCGGAAGTACACGGGCTGTGGGGCCCGTGAGCCTTAGCGGCGCTGGCTGCGGATCTGCATACAAAGTGTGGGATCATTATCGTTTCTCTAGTCTCCCCCCAGGACAGAGCACACGAAAAGCGACCTAAAATATTAACGAGGATGAAGATCCACTTTAAAGAAACGGGGACCTCAGTTTAACGGTCAACTGTTATACTCACCGTAGGACTAATGAGATTCGGAATCACTATGCAGCGAGCAACGGCAGCTCTCCCCTCATGCCTTAAACTTATGAGTAAGGAAAATAACGATTCGGGGTGACGCCCGAATCCTCACTGCCAATGTGAGACGAATTTTTGCGCGGGTAAAGGTTGCCCCTAAGGTGACCCGCCTACTTTGCGGGATGCCTGGGTGCTGCGATCTGCCCGACCCCCTCGCGCTGAAAGAACAGGCTGGTGGGAGAGCAGCTGGGGGGCGGGAGCTGGCGTCCTTACTGCAGTCTTCCCTTGGGTCCGGGAGCCTCAGCGGTCGCTCTTGGCCCTGCCAACAGTTTACTGCTTTCTGAGTCCGGCACTGCCAGTGGGTTACGTAGTTAATTGTGACATTGGCCTTAGCCGGTCTGGCTCGGGGACACCAGTGGAGGTACGTCCTTTTTGTTGTTGTTGGTTGTTGATTGTGACATTAGCCTTAGCCGGTTTGGCTCAGGGGATAGAGTGTCCCGTCTGTAGACTGACGGGTCCCAAATTCAATTCCGGCCAAGGGCGCATGCCTGGATTGTGGGCTCCATCCCCCAGTAGGGGGCGTGCAGGAGGCAGCCAATCAATGATCTCAATCATCATTGATGTTTCTGTCTTTCCCTCTCGCTTCCTCCCTGAGCTCAAAAACAATGTATTTTTTTAAAAATAATATATTTTATTGGCTTTTTTACAGAGAGGAAGGGAGAGAGAGAGAGAGAGAGAGAGAGAGCTGGAAACATCAATGAGAAAGAAAAATCGATCAACTGCCTCTTGCACACCCCCCACTCACTGGGGATGTGCCGGAAACCAAGGAATATGTCCTTGACGGGAATGGAACCTGGGACCCTTCAGTCTGCAGGCCGACACTCGATCCACTGAGCCACACCGGTTGGGGCAAAAATGAATTTTAAAAGTATGACATGCCAAAACCGGTAGACTGAAGGGTCCCAAGTTCGATCCCAGTCAAGGGCATGTGCCTTGGTTGCGGGCACATCCCCAGTAGGGGGTATGAAGGAGGCAGCTGATCGATGATCCTCTCTCATCGATGTTTCTAATTCTCTATCCCTCTCCCTTCCTCTCTGTAAAAGAAATTGATAAAATACTTTTTTTTTAAAGTATGACAAAGTCCACTTTAAAGAAAATAAAAATAAATGGTGACTTTGGTTAATGAGTTATGTGCGCTTGACAGAACATCACACTATATTAAAAATCTGGCATCAGGCCCAACTGATGTGGCTCAGTGGTTGTGTGTCGATCGACCTATGAACCTGGAAGTCACAGTTCATTCTCTCTTAGGCACTCTCCTTCACTTCCTCTCTGAAATAAAAAAATAATAATAATCACTAAAAATCTGTTACCAGAAGCTCCATGGAAAAACTGGGCAAGAGCTGGTAAAGAAATCCAGAGGTCTGGGGTTGGGCACCAGACAGAGCGGAACCCAGGTCCCACCCGGGCGGCTGTGATTGGGTGCTGGCTGGCCTTCCTTTTCTCAGCTGCGAACAGCGGCCACTATCCCCTTCCTCCCTCCCAGGGTGCAGGGGGAGGGAGGCCCACAGTGCCCCAGCCTGGGCCAGCTGGACCGTGGCGGCAGGGGCAGAACCAGGAAGCAGCCGGAGGGTGCGGGGAATTAAAGTGCTGTGGTGCCTTAAGTGGAAGGTATGTCAGTCCAATGGTTTTTAAAAGCCAGCACAATAGGGTCATTAACCGAGATCAAGTAATTTTGGGATCCTCAGTGGGGTGGCCTCCCCCAGGAGCATGTCTGAGCTTGGTGGAGTCCTGTTTGGTCGTCCAGAGCAGCGGTCGCCCACCTTTTGGACCTCATGGACCACCAGTGGTGCCCGGACCATTGGTTGGCAGCCGCCGGTTCAGAGGACAGAGATCCAGTCACATGGAAATGGGACAGCCTCCATCTGCAGCGAGCGACCTTCCTGGAGCCGAGAGGCTGGTGCGATCCGAGCCAGGCTTCGCTCCAGTTCCTGTACGAACGCGCAGGACTGTTCGCCCGGCATGAACAACAGGGAGTTGCCAGGAAGGACTGCGCAGGAGCCGAGGAACGGGTGCTGCTTTGTTTGGAAAGGGACCAAGAATCGTGCCGCCTGGGAGCCGGGCTGCAAGTGCCGACCTGGCATTTGGGCAAACCTGACCTACCCCCCGTGTTATAAAGCCCGTTTCTTTCTGGCTCTTTTATGACATAGAGCTGTGTGTGCGTGTGCGTGTGTGAGACATTACCTGTGAATTCACTTCAGGGGATAAAGGGCCTGTTATTTTAAAAAGGATGTCAAGTCTGAGAGGGTGAAGAATCACTGACCTAGTTCACGCACCCATTTTACCGGTGGGGGAACTGAGACCAGGAGAGAGGGAGACCAGATCCAATTTATGCCCTTCTTCCCAGCTCCAGGAGGCAGCTGTGCATTCAGGCAGATGTGCATTCAGTTCCTCACCCTCAGGCCCATTTTTTCACCCTCCAGATGGAGGCAGGAATGAGGAGACTGACGTGTATCCAGTGCTCAGCAGAGGCCAGCACACAGTGGTGTGGAGAAGGGCCCTGGGGATCTGGGGTCCCCAAGTCAGTCCCTTTCCTACCCACTGGGGACAAAAGAGGAGAGGAAAAAGGGACGCCCCTGGTCCCCAAGCATTTTTTTCCTGTTAGCTCGCCCATCTCCTCCTCTCCCCCCTCCACTCCGGCCAGCTGGCCTTTACTGATCCCTGAGCTGCCAGCAGATCCCTGCCCAAGGGCCTTTGTACGTGCTGGTCACTCAATCCAACCTCATCTGCATCATCACCTCAGCCGCCGCCTCCTCTGATCCGTCTGGAAGTCTGTCCCACGAGCTTATTCTGACCACAAGGCTCTTCGCCTGCTGTCCCCACCACCGCAAACACCTGCTACCCCAGCGGGCGGATCCTGCCCGCCACGTCCCCGCGGTCATTCCTGGGAGGGCTCCCCTCCCCTGGCATTCACACCGCTTCCTTGCCTGGTGCCTTGCTCACCAGCTGCGGGAGCAGGGAAGAGCGTGTGGGGCAGCAGGGGTCCCCAGCACCTGGAATGGCCCGGGGAGCCTTCCACAGGCAGCACTTGGCCTCACCAGCCCCACCTCGGACCCCAAAGCCATTCACGGCTTAGCCTGCCTGCAGCGGCGGGGCTAATGGCTGCTCCTGCTCCTCGCGGGCTGTGGGCGAGAGAACCAAAAGGAAGCCTCTGGGACAGGCGAGTACGCAGGCAGACCTGAGTCCCGCAAGGCCTCTCCCTCGGAGGCGACATGGACGGGGTGGGCACGCGGGGAGCTTAGCGCTGGCCCCCCGGAGCAGCCCCAGCCCCCGCCAGGCATCTGACCTGGGAGACGGCCCGGAGGTGAAGCAGCCAGCTCCTCACAGAACCGCGAGGGGTCATGGTGAGGACAGGAGCCCCCCCAGGCACGCATTTGGCGTCACTGGTCACAGCCCTGGCTTGGGGGGGGGGGGGGTCTCGTGTCCTTTCCTGCCCTGAATGCCAGGCCCACGCAGCCTACCCCCGCCCGCCCCCCACGGGGACACAGCCTCAGAGAGCCGAGGAGAGTTAACATTAGCTAAGTTTTATTTCAACGTTTTTTTTGCTTATAAGTGACTGAAAAAGCCGCTATGCTGGAGGCTAGCCCACCGCTGTCTAAAGGCAACCACGCGGCACTGAGTCTCCCCACGCGGGGCAGCGCGGGCAGCAGGCGGGCGGGTGCGGGCGGAGGAAGAAATAAGCATCAGCTCTGTCCTCCTCTGCTTCAGGCTGGGCCAGGACCCTGAAGCGATGGCTCTAACCACTGAGCGACAGCTCGGGACTCCCACAGCTGCCCTGTCTGGGTGCCCTGGGGAAATGTGGAGGCTCCGGAGGGGCCACGTGCGGGCCAGGGGGGCCTCCTGCGCCTTCCGGTGGTGCCCGCCTGTAGTGTCAGGTGCTGAGGCCCGGCCCCAGGCGGGTAGTGAGGGGCGCAGGGGTCCCAGGTGGTGGCAGGGAGGCCCGGGGCCCGCAGCTCTGACTGCCGTGTAATCTGGTCCTTCCCCCGTGTCTGCTCTGGGCGGGCGGCGGCCCCGTAGTGTGTGGGGTGGGCGGGGGGGGCCTGAGCCCGGGCGGCCATCACTGCAAGAACCAGTGCGGGTCCGACAGGAGCCTGTCCTGAAGGCGGCCGTGCGGCCTCAGTGATCAAACCGGATCCCGAGGGGCCCGGTGAGGGCGCGGGGGAGGGCGAAGGGCGGGAGGGAGCGCGGGGGGCGGGACCGGCGGCAGGCGGCTCGCCGCCTCAGAAGCTGAAGAGGCGCTCCTTGGGGTGGCCCACGCGGTCCAGGTTGGGCAGGCAGGCGTACTGGATCATGGGCGGCGGCCCGCACATCAGGACCAGCGGCTGCTCCTCCGGCGGCGGGAGGTGGTCCCGGATCATCGCCTCGTTCACGAAGCCCTCGCTGTAGTCCCAGGCTGCGGAGGGAGACGAGGTGAGCCCACGCACGTCGGCTGCCGACGACTCCCCTGCCCGGCACCCTCCCGTGGCGATGCGTCCCGGCCCGGATGCTTCCCTTCTTCCAACCGGCACCGCGGAGGGGAGAGGCTGACCCACGCCTTGTGCTGATGCCGCCGGCCTGGCTGCCCACAGCACAGCTTGGCCCTCTTGGTCTCCAGTTCCCAGAGCCTTTCACTTCCATCGGCCCTCAGAACCCCCGGGGTGGACAGGAGAGGGCTAATGAGCCCACTTTACAGACGTGGAAGCTGAGGCCCAGAGGGCCCAGAACTGAGTTGTCCACGGTCACTCGCTGAGGCCTGCGTACTCAGGCTGGCAGGGCTCTAGTCTCACATGGACCCTCAGAGGGCACAGTGGACTGATGGGGACTGAGGGCTGGTGGGAGTCTGATGGATGGCAGGAAAGGAAGAGGAGCCGCCCACAGCCCTGAACCGAGTCCTTCCACCCTGAACCCCCGGTTATCTGGCTGGTCTCTGTTTTCTGGCTGGAAATGTCTCGCTAAAGCCCTGCACAACAACAGAAACACAGTTCTGGAAGCCAAGGTCAGGCGCCAGAGACAGACCAAAGGGCCTGGCTCGATGGACACTCACTGTACCACGTTAGGGGGTGCTGTGCCAGGGACAGCAGTCCCAGCTCTGAGCACCGGAGAATTTGCTATTGTATGGGCACTGATCTGGGTAACCGACCACATCCCCTTTTCACTTTGGCTGCTGGGAAGCTCAGGATCTGCAGCAAGTGTGCATCCCAGTCCATGGCTTTGTACAAACCCCATTCCTGATTCTGTCACAGCCCTGCCCTTGTCTCTCACCCACTCTGTTTACCCTCTGACTCACTGGGGAGGCTTCTTAAGCTGCCTAACGGCCTCTGGAACGAGGCAGGGCAGACATGTGGCATTTTCATAGCTGGGCAACACATCGGAAAGGACCTCGTAAAAACCACACGGGCGAAACGGTGTTTGCTAACGAACGGAATGTGCAGGTGTGGCACACCCGTTTTCACAGGTGGTGTGCTGAGGTGGCCCTGTGGGGAGCGTGCCAGTTGCACCTGCCATGTGGGCGGGCCCTCGACCCGCTGAGCTCCGGAGGGCTGTGCTGCTCAGCTGCCCTTCCTCCTCAGCACCTAGAGGGCAGCTTGTGCTAATGTCAGAGCCACGCCTCAAGGCCCAACAGGGGTAGGCGTTCCCATAGTGGCTAGTGAGCGCCCCCTACCACACCCTTAGAGCCTGCACCAGAACGCAGGACCTCCCCGCCCCGCCCTCCCTCCCCCTCCGCCTCTCCCCTTTAGACGGAGACCTGGGTACCCGAGAAAGGCAACCAGTGCCCCCGCCCGGCTTCACGCAAGGCCTTGCCCGGCCACCGGCTCGGCCGTCCCTGGGTCTCACCGGCCACCGTGCTCTGTGAGCGCCCAATAAGCCTCTTCCTCACCCCCTGGCACACCAGCCCCGGGCCAGGCCGGCTCCGTGAGCACACAGACGGGCTGGCCCTGGACGGCCGTCCAGCCAGAGGCCTCGGGACACAGCCGTCAGGTCCGCAGCCCACCGCCCGGGAGGCCAGGACCCGCTCTGGTCGCCCAGGAGGGAGGCCCTCCCCCGGGGTGAGCCCAGAGGATGCAGCGCACTAGACGGGCGCCAGCCCAGAGCCCGTCTCTGCCTCCCGGGAGCAGCAGAGAGCCGTGGCTGAGTCCCAGTGGACTGCGGGCTGGGTGAGAAGCCGGAGGCCGAGCAAGTGGGGCTGGCAAGGCGAGAATGAGGTACAAGCTGGCGTCTACGTGGCGACTTAGAACACGTTGCTTTTAGCGTATAGAAATTTCCCAGCCCCTTAGAGCAGAGAGGCCTGGTCCCAGGGCTGAATTCCTGCATAACCAACTGACATGGCGCTGAGGGGCTGCCCACTGTGGACAGGGCACCTGGCTCTCCATTTCGCCCCACTCCCCACCACTCCCTACTGCCTCTAGCCCCGAAGCAAACATCACCGGATTATCCACCAAGAAGCCTGGCCTGCTGCCTTTCCCACAGCAAAGGTACTTTTTACACCCGCCCCTTCCTAAGGCGGGAGATGAAGCTGTTTAGCTCCCAGAGGGCAGCCCAGTTCAAGTTTGGGGGGGGGGGCAGCCCTCACTCCGTCTCCTACATGGTTTTGGTTTCTCCACAATCAACTGTGTGACCTTGGCAAACAGCTTAGGCACCTGGACAGCTTAGGCACCTGGACTGGCTGATGACTGGAGAGAAAAATGGGCCTAACGGCACAAACTACAGCACCCAGCTCTGCCCCAGACCTGCCCGCAGCGAGTCCCAGCCCAGGGGAAGGGCTGCTCCTTCGCCCAGCAGGGGGCAGTGCAGCTAGGGCTCAGGAGGATCGTCTGTGACGTTTTCCAGCTGTGGAGCAGTGTGACGGGGACGCTTACTTCCCCTCTCTGACCCCTCCTTCCTCACTGCGAGACGGGGGCAGCGGGTCACAGTCCCTCTCCCGGGCCACGGCCAGAGCGTGCAGATGAGCACGCACCAGAGGACGCCGGCGCCCCACCAGCCCGCCCGCCTGCAGCGCTCACCCTCAGGGGCTTTGTCCACCGTGAACCAGAGCTTGAAGCGCGCGGAATGTTCGTTCCTCAGCTCCTCCAGCTCCGGCCGCAGCAGGATGTCCTTCTCGGTCTGTGGGGACAAGTCCCAGGTCAGAGGATGGCGGCAGGGACTGCGGCTCATCGCCACCCGGGCCCCGCTGGCACAGCTCAGCAGAATCCCGGGAGCCTCACCCTCTCAGCTCACACAGGAGCGGGTCAGGCTGCAGCGGGAGGTGCTCGGTGCACGTGCAGCTCGCAAAGGGCGTTGAGCTGGGGGAGGTGCGCTCGGTGCAATGGGGGTGGAGAGGGAACAGAGGGAAGACGGGGAGGAGACGGCCAACACCCCGGTCCCTTCGGGGTGACTGTGATTCTTAAACTAACGCGTGGCTCAGTGAAAGAACGAAGGTCGCCATCCTCATCCCTGGGACAAGCCTCCAGGTTCGGGCATCTCAGTTAGGAAATCAGACGCCTGGCAGCCCACGCAGCCCTAGAGTTCAGCCATGGCCCTCTCCTCCGGGAAGCCTTCCCAGACTTCGCAGAGGCACGACAGGGAGTGTCCCTCCTCCCACACCATCGCCCACACTGGGTAACAACTTTAATCTTTGCCAGTCAGACCGATAGAAGGTAAATCTCATGTTTTATGTTTTACTGGTGACCCAGTACACGGATTAGTGCACATTGAAAGGAAAGGATTTAGAAGATGGCAGTGGGTGTGACTGGGAGAGACAGGCCCGACACACCCTGGAGCCAACCTCTCGCAGTCCCTCCCCAGCCGGCCCCAACTGGGGCGGTACTACGGCTCCAAGGGAGTCTGCGGAGTGAGTGGGGTCCCTCTGGCAGGTGGGGTCTTGCAGCCTGGTGGACTCCTGTGGCTCTGCTAGGAACTGGGGTCCTTCCTCTCTGGTTCAGGGGTGCATCACCTGAGAACTGCCGCTGCCAAGTCACGGCAGCTTAGTTGAGTGTCTGCCCCTTTTGGTCAGTGTGCATCATACCGACTGGCTGGTCCTTAGCCTTTTATATATATGATTAATAAGTTTGTCATTGCCCTGACTGGTTTGGCTCAATGGATAGAGCGTCAGCCTGCAGGTTCCAGGTTCAATTCCAGTCACGGATGTACCTTGGTTGTGGGCACATCCCCAGTAGGAGGTGTGCAGGAGGCAACTGATTGATGTTTCTGACTCTATTCCTCTCCCTTCCTCTCTGTAAAAAAAAAAAAATCAATAAAATATATATATATTTTTAAAAAGTTTGTCATTGGTCATCACTTCTATTGGTTTATAAAACTTTTAATATTAAGCCGAAACCGGTTTGGCTCAGTGGAAGGGTCCCAGGTTCGATTCCGGTCAAGGGCATGTATCTTGGTTGCGGGCACATCCCCGGTGGGGGGTGTGCAGGAGGCGGCTGATCGGTGATTCTCTCTCATCGATGTTTCTAACTCTCTATCCCTCTCTAAAATCAATAAAATATATATATTAAAAAAAAACTTTTAATATTAAGGATATTCATTTCTATTGGTGATGTTATATGTTTTTTCTTAGTTCTGTATCTTCCTACCTTGTTAATGTTTTCTCACCCAAATAAGAACATGGACATGTTTTAATTCTCAGCAGAGAACTCACTCCACCAGTCTTTCCTCTCCGCCTGGCTCAGACTGGCCGTCCCCAGCCATTCATTCACGCAACAGTACTTCTTGGAAAAATGCTCCCCTACTTTCAAAGCTTCGGGTTGTTGTTTTTTTACATGCACATCTTTAACCTAAACTTCATTCTACGGGAGGAAAAGGAGGCATCTACTTAGTTTTTCCCAAATGCATAGCAACTAACCCAACATTCCTCTCCTCCTTTTGTATTTCTTAATTGTTATTTAACAGAGAACCATTCCAAAGCTCACAAATGCATGCTTCATGTTCAGGAAGACGGGCCAGTGACAAACGTCCATGTTTCAACCCAAAGGCATTCTTTACCTCCCACAGGTCACTCTGCCCTCAGAAGCCCCGCCTCCTCAGCTCCTCAGCCTTTCACAGCATCGTCCTCCCTGTGGGAACACACTCACTCTTCCCCCATCGGCGTGTCATCCCTGTGAGGGGCTGTGCTCATCTCTGTATCGTTCCAATTCTAGTACATGTGCTGCCGAAGTGATCACCCAACACCTGCTTATTTTTATTTTAATTTTTAAAAATACATTTTCATTGATTTCAGAGAGGAAGGCAGAGGGAGACAGAGATATAAACATCAATGATGAGATAGAATCATTGATCAGTTGCCTCCTGCATGCCCCCTACTGGGAATTGAGTCCGAAACCTGGCATGTGTCCTACCTGGGGATCGAACCTGGAACCCTTTAATACACAGGTTGGCACTCTATCCACTGAGCCAAACCAGCTAGGGCCACCCAATACCCATTTAAAAAAAAATTTTTTTTTTATTATTTTAGAGAGAAGCGGGGACAGGGGGGGAGGGGGGAGGGGGAACAAAAACATCTATCAGCTGCCTCCTGCATGCCCCCACTGAGGATTGAGCCCACACCTGGCCTGTGCCCTCACCAGGAACCCAACTAGCGGCCTCCTGCCACTCAGCCCGAGCCCCACTGGCAGGGCCCAACACCACGTTCCTCTCTCCTCAGGCTGCGATGTCCCTGCATCAAAACCGAGTCTCAGACACCTGGGCCTGTTCCCAGGTCCGACGTTACAGAGCCTTCCGCAGTGATGGCAATGGCCCAGGCCTTTGTCATCCGATGAGGGAACCGCTGGCCACATGTGGCTACGGAACCCATGCAATGTGGCTAGAGAGACTGGAAGAGCACGTTTTACATTTTGATCTGAATTTAAATGCGAATGGCCACATGTTCTAGCATGTTCCAGCACCGTCTAGACATTCGTTACCACCAGAAACGCAGTGGGACCAGTGAGCCTAAGTCTCACATGCGGCTCTAGAGCCACGGTTCCACCACGTGCTTTTCTAGTGGCTGTCACACCGGGTGCAAAGTCCTCCCGTTACTCTTCCTTCTCGAACGCCCTGGCTGCGCACGCACCATCTTTCTGACTACACTGCTTCACGTGGAAGGGGGGCGGTACCCCCGGAAACGAGTATTATTATACTTTATAAGGAACCAGCTCCTTTACAGTATCGGCCCCCTGCTCTGAACACTCCTTTAATGTCCTCGCTGGTTGTTTTTATCGTTGATGTTCTTAGAGGGAGTGGAGGGGGGGAGAAGTGGGAGAGAGAGAAGCATTGATGTGGGACACAGTGACTGCTCCGGCACGTCCCCTGACGGGGGCTGGAGATGGAGCCTGCACCTGAGGCACATGTCCAGACCAGGAATCGAATCCTCCACCCTCCGGCCGTGGGCTGACGCTCTAACCACTGGGCTACTGGTCAGGGCTAATGTCCTTCTGAAAGGCGTGTTCCCTTAGGAGGGGCTTGGCGCTAGCCCCACATCCTCCCTCTTGGGATGAAGCAGAGGAGCGACAAGACCTGGGTGGGCAAAGTGGCAATGCCCACTCAGCATGGCCTGTGAGCCGGGGCCCCGGCGACCCTCCAGAGCGTCTGAGAGGTCAGACGATTTCCATCTGATACGAGGACTTGATGAGCATCGTCCCCTCTTGTCCCCGCAGGAAGGCCGGGACCCTCTGGGGGCATCGTGGCCTGAGCCACCGCACCGAGTGCAGAACACGCATGGAGCCAGGCACCACAAAGGCTTCCTGACATAAAACAAAACGACGTTCGAAAAAATATGGCTATTTTTCACAAAATATGCGTGGGTTCCAGTGACTTTCCATAGAATACACTGGCTCCACCACGTCCTGTAGCACATGCAGGCCACACCCTCTCTGGGGCTCCGTGTCCAGAGCTCAGAGGCAGGGCAGCCGCACCACCGCCCTGGCTAACGGCTCACAGCGCAGGGACGCCCCGCTGGGACAGAGGCTGATGGCCTCCTGAGAGATGCGCCCAGCACGGACCAGGGCAGCTGCTGCCTGCCCTCCTGCCCGCCAGCAGCTTGGGATTTCTGGCTCTTTCCACCCACCACGGGCCTGGGAAGGCCGCCCTGGTGGCCACAGGGCATCTTTCTATAACTGTGCAGCGTCCAAGCACCTCAGGCCAGTCAGTCCCTCGGGCTCAGCTTCCTCAGACGGATGGTGCAGAGCCTGGGCCAGACCAGCCCGCTCCTGGCATGGCCTCCAAGCTGCCGGGAAGGACTGTCTCATCTCGGTCTCATCTTGGCCTCCCCTAACGGGCGTCTCTGCGACACCCACATCCCCAGCCACGAAACACTGAACAGGACAGACTTGTGATGGCCTGGCTCATTTTAGCGGAGGGCTCAAAGCACAGAGAGGCAAAGTGACTTGTCCAAGGTCACACAGCAGGCCAGGGTGGGCAGGCAGCAGGCATGGGGAGGAGAACATGTACTCAGAAGAGAGACCGAGCCCTGCCCCACACCCCAGCTCAGGGCCCTGAGGCCGGTGGACTCCCAGCACCTCTCCGGTGACACGGCCTGTTCCCAGGCCCGCCCCAGCCCGGCCAGCATCTGCCCAGTTCACTGGTGGGTGGTTCTGAGCTCTGCCCACGGAGGAAGCAGCCAGGGGAGCAAGTCTCAGGTGGAGGTGTCTGTGCCTCTCCAACCCCCATGTGTCAAGCCAGACACGGGCTCTGGGCTGAAGCGCCCACCCCCAACTGCTGCCACACAGGCTGCCAGGCACACGGCCTCAGAGCACCCTCATGCTTGCTGCTCTGAGCATCTTGCACACGTCCCCTGAGGCCCTGCGCCCCTCAGCAGGGGCCGGTCTGCCCCTCGGGAACGCTCACTGACCTGGTTGGCAAAGAGCAGGTGGCACACGGTGTGGTCGTCCGGGTCCTTCATGATGGCGCGAATCACCTGCAGCATCGGGGTGATCCCTGCAGAATGGCAGCCCCCAGCTGGTGAGCCCCTGCTGTACACACAGGAGGGGGGCCCAGCAGGCGCCAGGGGAGATGCCAGGACCTGGGGCAGCCCACATCTGTGCCCCCCACACCCTCACACACCCCCACACTCCCACAGTGTCCACGCACTGGGGACTCCGCGAGGGGCCAGGACCACTCACCTGTCCCGCCCGCGATCATGCCCACGGACTTCACCGTCTTGATGACGGGGTTGGACTTCTTGTCCGGGCGGATGGCGAACTTCCCTGGGGAGGAGAAGGGTGAGGCCCGCTCTCCAGCACGCCGTCTGGGGTCGGATGGGCTGGAGAACTGCCCCTGCTTGGGGGTCGAGGTGCAGGTGCCCACCAGCCAGCGCCAGCCAGGCGGGTAAGGGAGGGGCGGTGGAACACAGGACCAGCTGGAATGCCAGAGGTGCCCAGCATGGCTCCCTCGTGCAGATGCGTGGGGAGCGGCAGAGGCTGGCACACGGAGGCTCCCGGCACAACCTCCCGCTGTGCTCAGCCTAACGAGGCTGGTCTGTGGGTCGGATGTGGCCTCCAAGGGCAACCAGCTGCAACCCCTGCGCTGACCCACTCATCCCCTGTACAGCTGGGGAAACAGGCCCAGGAGGGAGCTTGTCCAACAAGCGTTACCCAGAAGCAGCAGTCAGGCCCTGCACCGGCACCACGGCCTGCAGATCCTGGGGGGGAGGGCAGCCCCCCTCACCTTTGCCCTGGTAGACCAGCAGCCCGTTGGGGCCCCGGAACTCGATGGTGTCTCCGATCTTCATGCCTTCTAGGTACTGGGACATCTTCCCTCCGCTGGGAAACTTGGGGTGCGTGTCTTTGAAGTAAACCTGCAAGACACACCCACAAGCCTCACTCCCGTGCCCAGGGTTGTGGGGGGACTCTGAGCCTCATGGGAGTGACTTTTGGGGGTTCCTCTGCAGCTTGGGGGTGGCCCTGTCACAGAATGCCCCCCACCCATTACAAGGTACCCGGCTGTGCCCCAGGAGTCTACCCTCCCCCAACGTGTCCTTGGAACGCAACGCGTCAGCCTGAGGTACACAGGGCAGCGACCCCATGGCTTCAGCTGACCTATTGACGTTCCCCCAGGAACTTCTCCGTGACCTCCTGACGGGAGACTCGAGGGTCAGCTCAGTGAAGGCCAGCGGCTCCGGGAGGTGGGCCGGCCATGCTCTCCATCCTCCCTGTCATCCTCACTCAGAACAACTTCCTGCCCGCCCTCCGGGGCTTCAGCTTGGGGAAGAGGAAGCGCTACAGCCCTCAGATAGAGACAGGAGCACTCGGACATGTGCGCTGGCCTTGAAGGGTGCCAGGTGATGGGCACACAGAAAGGCGGCTGGGAGGGAGGGAGCACAAAGCCAGCGGTCTGCCAGGGCTGGGGACCAGGAGGGAGAGGAGCCGAGGTGCCTACAGCACAGGGCGGGGTGTGGGGGAGGGGACAGGGAGTGCAGGGGGAGGGAAGGGCAGTCAGGGCGCCCTGTGTGCCGGGGAGGAGCCAGGACTGTGACCGCCATCCTGGGCCATTGGCGGCCAGTGGGGCCTCCCAGCCAGGAGAGGCCTGGTCAGTGTGAGCTTTCTATCCTGTACTCAAACCCCCAACACCTCATTCGGTTGGAGTGTTTCAATGAGGACAGATGCTCGAACCCTTGCACCTTCCCTTTGCTTCTGCAGGAGCATCTCCCAGCATCTCCCAGGCCCGGCCTGCCTGCTGACCTATGGGACCTGACCCCCTGCCCTGAGGGGCTTCAGCCCTTGTGCTTCCTCCTGACCTCGCGCCTGTGCGCCTGAAAGGCCCTTCTCCTCTTCAGCTGTCGCTGCCGCCCGCTCAGTGCCCGTTCCAGGCTCAGCCCCGTGTCCCGGGAGTAAGCACCGGCCTGTGTGACCACAGGCTCACTGCTGGCTCCCCAGCTAAGACGGGGTCCTGAGACCAGGCTGGGGCCAGCAGGGAGGCTGAATAACACTGAGCCAAGGGGGGCCCAGGCAGAGCCAGGCGCCCTCCTGCCCGCACAGACCCAGCCCGGCCCTGGGTTCAGTGGGGCTCTGTCTCGGCCCTGCCTCCACCAATGGCCAGCCAGGGGCCTGGGCTCTCACGGTGCAGTTGGGAGAGTCAGCAGGGCCCAGGGGCCTTGGGCCTTGACTGGTGACGGTCTGTGAAGCCCCCGCCACCAGGCCGGCTGGTTCACACGCGCTGGACGTGTAACCAGAGGCCGTGGGACGCTGCTGTGAAGTCTGTGCTGCTGTTTTTCATAAAAGGCCCCGCGCTGGTCACCACGTCTCTCTCCGGGTCTTTACAGTCCTTGCTGGTCCCTTACAGTCTTGTGGCTGAATGCACTGCAGGGGAAAGCTGCTCGGCCCTCTGCCCAGACCCCACGCGTGGCCGCTGCTGGTCGGTACATTTGCTCCTCACTCAGAACCAGGCCCAGGAGGCACCGGGCCACAGAGACCAGGCTCGGGTCATGGGTCCCCGGAGGCCCCGGCTATGATGTGGTCTCCCACCCCTGTCTCCACGTGGCGTGGCCCAGACCTCACCTTGATGACCAGGTCCACGAAGCCCTTGTCGTCGTCACTGGAGACGGGCGTGTAGGGCCGGATGACCAGGTTTCCGTCGATCCGGGCCGAGAGGTAGATGTGCTGGCCTGCAGGACGCGCAGGTGACCGGGTCAAGAGCCAGCCCGCAGGGTGCAGGGCCTTGTCACCCACCTCCCGGGGCCCACCCAGCATTGACCCCTGCTGTGCTGGGCTCCCACTGCCCCTCAGGGATGCCGGCTTCCGCCAGCACGCCCCTGCTTGTGCTGAAGCCCGGCCAGGGCCCCCGGTGACTCCTCCCTCGTTCGGACACTTACTCTTACGGCCACGGCAGCTGCCACTCCTCCTGGAGGCCCTCCCTCGCTGAAGGGCAAAGTTCCCGCCTCGGACCTAGCACCCGCCTCCGTTAGAGCTGGGTGGGCCGCACTCACCAATAGGGAGGCCCAGGATGTGCTGGGGTGACGGCAGGGCAAAGCGGAACCGCCGCGTGTCATGGTTGATGATCTGCAAAGAGGCCGAGTTGTGGGGCGGGACCAGGGCAGAGGGGCCGCCAGGCCTCAGAGCCCCCTCCTCACCAGTGCCCCCCAGTCACCGAGGGGAGTGACAGGATGCCGCGTGCAGACCGTGTGTGAGGGCACAGAGGTCTCGCTGGCCCTGGGAAGGGCAGTCGCGGCCCAGGGCCCAGAGCAAACCTGTCAGAGCGGGAGGGGCACCCAGGGACAGGAGGGAGGGGCCCACCTGTGCCATCAGCCTGAGCGGGGTCCTGAGGCGGCAGGAGGAACCCAGGGGCAGGGAACTAGGGACAGAGCTGAGACAAGGCCCCACACGCACCAAGACCGGTTTGGCTCAGTGGATAGAGCGTGGGCCTGTGGACTGAAGGGCCCCAGGTTCGGTTCCGGTCAAGGGCATGTACCTTAGTTGCGGGCACATCCCCAGAGGGGGGCGTGCAGGAGGCAGCTTATCGATGACTCATCTCTCATCGATGTTTCTAGCTCTCTATCTCTCTCTCTTCCTCTCTGTAAAAAAAAATCAATAAAATATAAATATATATATATATATTTTTTAAAAAGGCCCCACACGCCCTGGCCGAGGCTCCAGAGGCGCTTGAGAAAGCACCGTGCCCCGGGGCGCCACGGCTGCGCTGGCGGCACAGGGCAGGAGACGCGGCAGCCTCACGCCCAGTCCAGGGCGGGAGGGTGGCAGCCGTTTCCCCTCCAAGGGGTGGCAGAGGCTGGTTAGGGGGAAGGAGCTGGGATCAAAGCCCCAGACACCCTGCTGAGTGGTCGAAACCGAGGCCAGGCAGGGGAGGGGGCGCGCCCCGAGACCCGCAGGGCCGCACTCACCTCCTTGTCGATGAGCCGCAGCGGGTACTTGATGTCCGGGCTCTCGAGGGTGATGGCCGGGGTGGAGCGCTGGAACAGCTTCATGAGCAGGTTGTAGAGGAACCAGACTGGGGAGAGGACCACGTGGCCCAACTGTAACGACAGGGACAGACCCACAGGTCAGCGCAGCCTGGGGAGGCCTGCCACCTCCCTTCCGCCAACACCAGCTGTGCCCTCTGCCAAGAGCCCCTCTCCTCACCGTCTGCACCAGGGAACCCAGCAGCATTCTGTGCCGGCTGGAGCAGTTACCAACACCAGCCTCCTGAGCCATCAGGGCATTACTGAGCACTGGAAACGCTCCCTTTGCCCCGAGGAACAGGGATGACGAAAGTAGTACATGACAGAGCATGCTTTCCTTTTCGCTCTGGCTGCCAGGAAGCTCGGGGTCAAGCTCCCAAGTAATTGTGCTTATTTTTAAAGAGAGCACATGGAAGTCACTGTGTAACCGTGCTCCCTCCCTCCCTTTCTTCCTTCAGTCACCTTCCCGGGTCCGAGGAAACCCTATCTAGACAAGCAGACAAACCCGGGGCCTGGGGCTCTGCCTTCAGGTGCGAGTGGCGGCTACGGCTCTGAGCTGGGCTCTGGTCCTTGCTGGGCTCTGGTCCTTGCTCTGAGCTGGGCTCTGAGCTGGGCTCTGGCTGTGTGACCCTGGGCAAGTCCTTTCCCCTCTCTGAACCGAACGGGACCAGCGATCTGCAGGGTTCTGGAAGCTCCAAGAGGGCACTGCTCAGCACCATGCTGGGCCCCACACAGGCGTTAAGTGAAGCTCACGACAACCCTATGGGTTGGCACTGTCATCACCAGTTTTACAAACGAGGAGAAAGCTCAGAGGTGACACAACTCGCCTAAGGGACTGGAGTCCACCTGCCTCCCCAGCCACACACGTAAACCTCAGGCCCCCCTCACACCCTCCGTGGCCCTGAGCCTCCTCCTTCCCAGCCTCCTGCCCCCTCCTCCCCAGCCCCCATCTCAGTCTTACAGAGACACTAAGGGGTGGTTTGGATCTTTTTAAAACAGAAAACCCAACACCGATGGCAGGATAGCTCATTGCTCAGCTTTACCTGGGGAGGACAGACACCTTGGCAAAGACAGACAACAGGCCTCCCGCCCTTTCTAGCTGTTTGGTCCCTGGGCAATCACTCAGCCTCTCTGAGCTGTTTCTCCATCTGTGAAATGGGGATCATGAGCCATGTTCCCAGGTTGTGAAGATGGAAAAACGCCATGGAAAGGCTGACCCAGGCCAGCTTCCTGGCGGGCTGAGCCCACAGGGCAACTGCTGTGCCGCAGCCACCCCTTGGCCAGCCGGAAGCTGGTCCTGAGCGGCCTCCGCTCTCTGGGCCACAGGAAACGGGCGGGATGTGGTGACGCCACTTAAGGGCCCACCACTGCCCTGTGGGCTCCGTCTCCAGCCACGAGGAAACACTGCGGGCCCATCTCCAGAATAAGTGGCCACAACTTCAAAATGTCAATGCCCCCCCCCCCCCCCCCGCCCAAACAACAAAGAAAGTCTGAGAAGCTGGTGCAGCTTCCAAGGGGCTCTGGTAGGCCGAGTGTGTCCCCAGAAGAGATGTCCACCCAGAACCTGGGAATGGACATCTGGAAAAAGGTCTTTACACACGTTACTAAACTAAGGGTCTTAGATGAGATCACCTTGGATTATCCCAGGGGCCCAAAGTCCCATGACAACCTTCCTTATGAGAGAGAGGAGGAGACTCAGACGGCCATGTGAAGTGATGGGGCCACAAGCCAAGGAAACCGAGGATGGCCAACAGCCTTGAGGAGAAGCAGGAAGAGGCGGGAAGGGCTCCCCTCGGCCCTCCCACACTCCATTTCAGACTTGTGGCCCAGAACGGTGAGAGAAAACATTTCTGCTGTTTCATGCCACCCAGTTTGTGGTAATTTTCACGCAGCCCTGGAGGCCAAGAGACAGAACAACTGAATGCAATGTGCAATGTGGATTAGGTCATGGCCCAGGGGTGGGTGTGAATAGGTATGCAGGGCAATCCTGAGACAATGGTGAAATATGAATTTGGGTCCATGGGTCACACAATAGTGTTGTATCCATGTTACTTCCATGATTTGCTCACTACCATGCAGCAAGCAACAGAATGTCCTTCTTCTTAGGAGAAAGATACTGAAGTATTTAGGGGCAAGGGAGCATCGTATCTCTAACATTCTCAGATAGTTAAAAAAATATATACACACACAAGAAAGCAAATACAGCAAATGTTAACATTTGGCACATCTGCATGGAGAGTATACAAGAGCCCTTTAGACAGTCTTTACTCTCAGTTTGAAATTATTTCAAAATGAAAAGTGGGGCCTGGCGTAGGGGAGCCCACGCTGGCGGTTCCAGCAGGGAGGCTGAGACCCACAAGTCCACACAGAGCAATGGTTCTCAAGAAAGCTGTTTCAGCCGAAACCGGTGTGGCTCAGTGGATAGAGCGTCAGCCTGTGGACTGAAAGGTCCGGGTTCAATCCGGTCAAGGGCATGTACCTTGGTTGCGGGCACATCCCCAGTGGTGGTGGTGGGGGGGTGCAGGAGGCAGCTGACCCATGTTTCTCTCTCTTCGATGTTTCTAACTCTCTATCCCTCTCTCTTCCTCTCTGTGAAAACTCAATAAAATATATTTTTTAAAAAGAAAAGAAAGCTGTTTCAGCCCTGGCCCGGAGTTCAGGTGAGCAGAACATCATCCAATACACCGAGATTTCAGGCAGGCACATATGCGAATCACCAATGAATACATAAATAAGTGCAACAAGTCGATATTTCTCTCAAAGCAATCCTATGTAATAAAAGCCTGATATGCTAAGTGTCCAGTCATCTGTTCAACCAATCAAAGCATAATATGTTAATGATATGCTAAGGCCACTCAACGGCTTGCTATGATGTGCACTAACCACCAGGGGGCAGACACTCCGACTGGTAGGTTAGCTTGCTGCTGGGGTCTGGAGGATCTGGACTGAGCGCGATGGGCCGGAAATGCCCTTGGAGCCTCCCATGGTTCCTCCCCAGATGCCCAACCTCCCATGCCCCTTCCTGGCCCCAGTTGTGCACTGGTGGGGTCCCTTGGCCTGGCCCGTGCCCTCTCGCAATCCAGGGCCCCTCTGGCATGTTGGAGAGCCGGTTTTAGCTGATCCTGCAGGCCAGGCCAAATCCGTGCACCGGGCCTCTAGTCAATAAATAAAAAGTTGTTTCACAGCTTGTTTACTCACTCTCCCTAGGAAACCTCCCTGACTTCAGTTCTCTTAGCAAATGACTGTGTGTTCTTATCATAATGCTACATATTCCCTTTTTACCTTGGCTGCCAGGAAGCTTAGACCCAAGTTCCTTACTTCTACGGGGGCCTCTCTGCTTCCTTTGTGGAACTCCTGAGGTGTCATATTTTTTTTTATTGATTTTTCACAGAGAAGAAGAGAGAGGGAGAGTTAGAAACATTGATGAGAGAGAATCATCGATCAGCTGCCTCTTGCACACCCCCTACCAAGGTACATGCCCTTGACCGGAATCCAACCTGGGACCTTTCAGTCCACAGGCCAACGCTCTATCCACTGAGCCAAAACGGTTTTGGCCATATTCTTTTTTTAAAAAAAAAATATATATATATGTTTATTGATTTCAGAGAGGAAGGAAGAGGGAGAGAGAAATATCAAAGATGTGAGAGATTCATTGATTGCTGCCTCCTGCACGCCCCCTACTGGAGGCAGAGCTCTTGACCAGGATCAAACCTGGGACCCTCCAGTCCGCAGGCCACCGTTCTATCCAGTGAACCACACTGGCCGGGGTGAGGTATGGTATTCTGCAGAGCACAGACCTAGAATTGGCCCCTGCCCTACTGCTCCCCACTTCCTGGAAACTCCCCCCACTCTCCATCAACCGGGGGGCTCTCTGAGCCTCGGTGCTCCCTTCTGGAGAAGGAAGGGGAGAGCCACTGCCCTGCCCACCTCCTAGGGGCCCTGGGATGTGAGAGGAGATGGGGGTGCACAGGTCACGGAGCCGTCTATAACCTGAGAATTGTGGGTTCACACACAGGAGCTTTTCCTGACACCCTCGTGGGGCCACTACCCCTGGGAGTTGGAACACCAAGAGGAAGGGCAGAGGCTCCCAGATCCCACACCAGCCTGGCCCCGCCTCCCAACCCGGTGCAGCAGCTTCAAGCTGCCTGGCTGCCTGGGCTCAGAACAATGAGTGTCTCTCCCAGGCAGGGCCTCAGGCGGGCGCCAGGCTTGCCCCAGGGGGCCCTGGCCTGTGACTGGAGGGTCTGAAGGGAAGGCCTGCAGGAGCCGGCCGGACCACCTGCCCAGCTAACCAGCACCCACTGTGTCCTGGTCTCATTTAAGGCCCTGCTGGCAGCCCAGGGCTGGGTCCAGAGACCAGGGTTCGGGGCCCAGCTCCGGCCTTCAGGAGACTCTGCCTCTCCAATCCCCACCTTTCTCAAGGGCACGAGGGCGGTCCCATTTCCGGCTGGGAGGGAACACGGCAGGAAAGGCTGACACTGCTGCAGGTTCGGGACCTGGTTCCCTGGGATAATCCTCCCTCCAACCCAAGGCCTCAGGTGCTGGCAGGAAACAGGCCCAGAGAGGCCCAGTAACTTGCCCCAAGTCACCCGCACCACGGCCAACCCTTGGAGGACCACACTCGTGACAAGTGACACTGTTGTCCCCGTTTCTCAGAGAGACTGGGTGAGTTGCCCATGGTCACGCAACAAGTCGGGCGGAGCCAGGATTCAAACCCAGGCCTGTCAAGCCCAAAGAATGGCTCTTCCCAAGCCGCCTCTGAGGGCCCCAGTCACAGAGCCCAGAGCCCCACTGACCCCCCACAATCCTATATCCCTTCTCCAGGGTGAGCCCTCAGCTGCCCAACCAACAGGCCGCTCCACCCCTCCTCAAACACCCACCATGGCTCCCACGGATGATCCCAACACCAGCCACAAGGCCCTCTTGCCTTAGGCCTTTGCATATTCTCCCTTCTGCCCACAACACCCTTCCCCTTCCCTCAGCCAACCAGCACACTCCTATTCACCCTTCCGAGCCCAGCTCCAATCTGCCCTGACTGGCACTCCCTAGCTACTCAGGCCGTCTGCAGACTTCCAAAGCCCAAGCCCGGCCTCCCTCCCTAACTCCCTGGGGGTGAGCACTATCCAGATGATCCCTCTGCCGGAAGCCCCTCCCTTGTCAGTCAGAAGAGCCACATCCCTGGGGAACGCTGTTTAGGGGAAAGTTGAAGCAGCTCCATTCCCAGGAAGTGGCTGTTGGGAGCCTTGGAAGTGAGCGGAAAGGGCCTGGAGAGCCGGCTGAGCGGTGCTGGTTCTCCCAGGAGCTACCCCTGCACAGCTGTTCAAGTGCACGGCCAAGTTCAAGAACACAAGACCCTGCGGCCTGCAGCTGGTGTCAGCCTGAGAAGAAGCACCTGCCGTGCATTTCCTCACTGACTCACCCTCGCCGGGTGGGAGATAGGCCAACGGTGATCGTCACTGGACAAATGGGGAAACAGGCTGGGGAGCCCAGGGTGGAGTCTGGGCTTCGGTTCCCGGTTTTCTGTCCCTCACCCCGAATCTCTCCTGCCCCAAGCCCACGAACGCTGGCCCATGATGTGTGCCATGAGAGACTGTATGTCAACAGCTCTGAAGGCAAGTCCAGGACACCACGGCCTCAGCCCTGGCACAGCCCTTCGAGATCCTGGATGCCAGCCCTGGGGGCAAACAGCGCGCCAGCTCCCCACCCTGGTCACAGCCAACACCAAACAGCAGAGCCTCTAGCTGGGCCCCAGGCGGGCAGGGGCCTGTGGCTCAGACCAGGGACACGCCATCAGTGTTTGTGGGCAAACTTGTGAAGGGACAACAAGTCCCACCCCCATCTCTCTCACTCTGTGTCTGGAAGCTTCAGGAACAAGGGCAGGAGGCCAGATCCCTCCCCGGCGAGGGTGGGGCGTGCCCGGCCCATCCTGTGTACCATCAAGCACAGGGCCCTCCCTGGGTCTGGGATCCGGGCTTCCGGCTGTGCCCTCACCTGCCAGGCACACCCCCTTCCCAGAGGTGGCACACTGGAGCCACTGTGGGAAGAATGCTCACCGGGCGGCTGATACTGGCGGGGGGCCTCCAGGCCCCGCTCCCAACAACAGGGGACCCCGCAGAGCTGGGAGGCGGGGCTGTACAACCCCTATTTCAGACAAGGATCTGAGGCTAGGGTGACAATCCCAAGGCCAGCATTTGAATCCAGGGGTCTGGCTCCTGAGCCACACCACAGCACACGGCCCCTCTGCGCCCACCCACACCGCCTGGCCCCGAGAGCAGAGGGCTTCAGGAACAAACAATTCCGCCGGCCACACCCCAATGGGCACACCTGCCAGGGCCTATGCAGGCCTTGGGGGTCACAGGCCAAGGGACCCACCCTGAGGAGATCAGGTCGGCGGGAAACAGACACGGCAGAGAAGAGGCAGTGGAGGGCCAGGGCTGGGTCTGCAGAACGTGGGAGGCGGTACCAGGCTCATAAGGAGTGGGATGTGGAGTGAAACAGGCTCTGAGCCCCCTCCCTGCATGGCACCCTCCCACCCTGCACGCTGCAGGCAGAGTAAACAGGAGGCAGATGGCCGAGCCAAGGCCTCACCCCAGCTTTTCAACTGCACAGCTTGTACCCATAATATATGTACACACACACACACACACACACACACACACACACACACACACACACCCCACCTCGTCCAGCCACCCCGGGGTTCTAGAAACAGCTGCCTCCAGGGCCTTGACCTGGTGCTCCGTGGTCTGTGCTCTGCCCTGGGAGGGAACCCCCACCCACCTTTCCCCACTCCTGATAACACGGTGTGTGTGTGTGTGTGTGTGTGTGTGTGTGAAGGAAATGGGGTGCCAGAGTCCTAGGCTGTCTCCAGGGAGCCCCCAGCTCACCCATGTAGCTGAGGGGCTGGGTTGCCCTGCTCCCCACCACAGGGCACCATGCTCAGCTGCTCACCCCCTGAATTCCCCACTGGTACCCTGGCGTTCACTCTGCCCAGGTCAGGTCTGGGTGGGCAGAGGGATGTGCCAGGACCTCCTACCTGGCAGGCCCAGCCCTCCCCACATGCCAGCTCCCTGCACTGTGCTTACCTGCCTGCTGCCCGATTGCCCGCTGTCCCACTGGGATCTGAGCGCCACCCCGCCTGTCCCCTTCTCAGGAAGTGGGAGTGGAGGAAGTCCTGAGGGGGCGGGGCTCCTTGCCTGCAAGGGCAGGAGAAGGGAGCCCAGGAGGAGGGGCAGGTGACTGCAGAGCAGCCTTCTCCCGGGGAGACCACCCAGTTTCTGGGGGCTACCACTGAGGCCTGGGCAGCCAGGGGCAGCGTGGGGTGGGCCCACTGAGCATTCACAGCGGCTGAGGGCAGGGGACCAGGCCCCAACGCTCCCCTCAGGTGGTTGGTGGCTGGTAGATTCAAGTGCCAACCCCTTGATGGGCCCCCTGGAGGGAGGCCTCCCTCCGAGCCTGGAGCCTGCACATCCCAGATAAGCTGCCTGGCGCCCCAGCCTGGGCTGACCTCCCTCAGACCGTGGGCAGCCCCTCACCAGGCAGCCCAGCTGGGTCTGCGGTGGGTATTCTGGGCCGGGGGACCCCGCAGGTCCTACAAGGAAGGGGCAATTCCCACTAACCCCTGGACGGATCAGGTCTCCTGACCCCAAGACAGGGCTCCACCCCTCACATGGGGCTGCTGGGGCCCTAGCAGTTCAGACAATGTGTGCAACAGTCGTGCCGGGGACCCACGACAAACCCAACCGCCGCTGGGAGAGGTGAGAACCCCATGGGGAACGGGAAGGCAATTTCTGGGAGCAGTCAGGAAGTTAGCCTGAGACGGTGCCGGGTGATGCCCACAGTATGCCCTGGGCAGGGCTGCTTTTGGTCTGAACATCCCCAGAGTCCTGGCTGGGCCCTAGTTCACGAGCAAACCCCGGGTCCGGGGAGCCTCACAGTCTGAGGGAGGAGGCCGGGGGCAGCGGGGTGTGGGCCCACTGAGTGCTCACAGCTGCTGAGGGCGGGGAGCAGGCGTGGACAGGGGGGCCGAGGTGCTGGGCCTGTCCTTCCCCTCAGCCCTCCTCCCCCACCCCCGCACGCACCCCCCCCCCAACCAGCCAGTGACTGGGGCTGCCCTCGGGCCAGTCTCCAGGGGAACACAACCCCAAGCCGCTCTGTGCATTTGGGAAAATCTGAGAGGAGGTGGGCCTGGCGGCGGGGAGGGCAGCTTTGGGACAACCCGAAGTGGCAGCAGGACTGGACTTTGACTCCACAGATTCAGGCTGAGCCGCTGGCCAAGTCCGAGCCCGATTTCCTCATCTGTGCAATGGCCAACACCATGGCCTGGCAGGGAGCACCCGGCTGGGGGAGGGGGTGCTGGTGGACGCTAACGATGCACAAAGCCCCTTCCATCCAGCCACGTCACACACACACCCCCACACACACACACCACACACACACACCCCACATACACACCCACACACACACCCCTCACCCCCCACACACACTCACACACACACACACTCACCCCACACACACACACACCCCTCACACACACCCACACACACTCACCCCACACACACACACCCCCCACATACACACCCACACACACTCACCCCCCCACACACCCACACACACACTCACCCCCCACACACACCCACACACACACCCCTCACCCCCCACACACACTCACACACACACACACTCACCCCCCACATACACACCCACTCACCCGCACAGCCACCCCGTGTCACACACCGGCACTCTGACCCACGTGCATCCACACATGCACACGTGCTCGGCCACACGCGCTCACCAGTCACAGTCACACCGTCACGCGTCACGCACTGTCACACTCGGTCGCACGCAAACTCTCCAGGTCACAGACACTGGCTCCCACACTCCAGAGGCCGCTGTCCCTGCGTGGGCGGCGGGGATGGGGGAGGATGGGGAGCGGGGACGGGGGCGGCGGGGATGGGGGGAGTGGGGAGGATGGGGGCGGGACGGCGGGGATGGGGGGGAGTGGGGAGGATGGGGGCGGGGATGGGGGAGTGGGGAGGATGGGGGGCGGGGACGGGAAGGATGGGGGGAGTGGGGAGGATGGGGGGCGGGGACGGGAAGGATGGGGGGAGTGGGGAGGATGGGGGGCGGGGACGGCGGGGATGGGGGGAGTGGGGAGGATGGGGGGCGGGGACGGGAGGGATGGGGGGAGTGGGGAAGGATGGGGGGAGTGGGGGAGGATGGGGGGCGGGAATGGGGGGCCCGGCGCGGACGGGCCGCCCCCGGGGCCCGCGGTCGCCATCCCGGGCCGGAGGGCTGGGTCCCGGGCGGAGGCCAGGGCGTGAGTCAGGCGCCCGCGGCACGCCCAGGCCGGGCGGGGCGGGCGGGTGGGTGCGGCGGGGTGGGATCGCGCCCCGGCCCCCGGCCCCGGCCCCTGGCTGGTCGCAGTGGGCGCCACCCGCGCCCGAGGCCGTGCCCGCCGCCCCGCGCCGCCCTCCCGCCCCGGCCCGGCCCGGCCCGGCCCGGCCTACCGTGCTCAGCTGCGCCCCCATCGCGCTCGCTCTCCGCTCTCCGCCGCCGCCGCCGCCGGCTCCGTCCGTCCGCCCGTCCGCGCCGCGCCCAGGCCGCCCCGCCCCGCCCGCCGCGTCACCCCGAGGGCGGCGCCGGCCGGCGGCTCACGGGCGGAGGCTGGGCCCCGCCCCGCCCCGCCGCCGGGTGCGCCGAGGGGGCCGCGGGGTGGGGGGCCGCGGGGTGGGGGCCGCGGAGGGCGGGCCGCGGGGTGGGGGCCGCGGAGGGCGGGCCGCGGGGTGGGGGCCGCGGGGTGGGGGCCGCGGGGTGGGGGCCGCGGGGTGGGGGGGCCGCGGGCCGGAGGTGCAGAGGCGCCGAGCACCGGGCTCCGCCTGCTGAGGGGCTCGGGTGCGCCGCCCTCAGGGAGGAAGATGGCGGCCCCTTCACTGAAACTGAACCCGGAAACGCCCGCAGGCCCCGCCCCTGGCCCCGCCCCCACCTCTGGCCCCGCCCCCTGGCGCCGCTGGGCCCCTCCGGGCTCCGACCCGTGTTAATGTAAAAGTCAGGCAACCGGTAAGAATTTTGTGAGTTTATTTGAGCCAAACTGTCGGCACATGCCGGAAAGCAGAACCTCAGCGAACGGAAGAATGCCCCGGAGAACGGGGAGCTCACACCTTGTTTTCATAAATTACCGTAAAGGGAAAGCCGTCCCTGGGTTCCATGAAATCCGTTGGCGTTAGGTTGGGGTTGTCGGGGAGAGAGCGAAGCGGGGACCCTCTGGGATAGGGTAACGTGAAATGATGGGCACGTGATAGTTTAATTAACAGTTGACAGTTAACTTGATAACAATAACAGGGAAGGTCCTGGTGCCACTTGTGCCCTGAGGGAAAAAGGGGGAGTTACAAGTTACCCAGCCATCTCATAGATGTGTTATCTTAGAGGCAAAAAAGACAAATGGGCTCAGTAAAGGTCGAAGTTGATCTTTGTCAGGGAAAATATCGGCCTAGGACATGACTACTATTACCTGTTTTTAATTAAAAATTTAGCAGGCCTCCCCTGAGCTTGTCAGGTTAGCATGTGGCCCCTTTTGTCCGCACTTGCCTTCACCTCCTCCCTCTGGGACCCTTGCCTCCTGTGTGGGCGTCACATCAAGGGACTCCTCCACAGGCCGCCCTGACCCTCCTACCCCCATGCAGCCTTGGGGTTCCCGGCGCCTAGTACTGAGCTGAAGCCACCTGTGTGCTTCCACCCCAGTGGACCAGGGCTCCCTGCAGGCAGGACTCTGCTTTGAAGTCCCCTGTACATAGTAGGTGCTCAATAAACACTTGTCGAAGGAGTGAATGTAACAGACACTGTGTGGGCCCACGCTGGCCCACCCCACAAGCACTTCCGGCCTCACCGGCCTGGAATGACCTGCATAGGAGTCCCTGGTACTCTGACCAGCCCTGCCTTCCTGGGTGATGTGTCCCGCAGGGTGACGCTGGCCGGGCAGAGCCTGGGGGTGGGAACGGGTGGATGGGGTCAGCGAGGCCAGAGCTGGGAGCACAGTGATGTAATGGGAGGTCACAGTGAGGCAGTGTGGGACCCCGGGTGGGGGGAGCTGGGGTGTGGGGGAGTGTGGGAGGCCCTGCAAGATTTAGGCAGGTGGGGCTCGGACGGCTGGCTTTGAGAGGAAGCTGGAACAGCCTGGAGGGAGGGGCAGGGAGAGGGTTCGACTACCATAGAATAGAAGGGTAAATGAGAGAGCAGATCACTTATTTCTGCTTTCGTGGTCACAATTTTAATATCTCAAAAGAAGTCATCAAATCACAAAGCTTGCCATCAGCACACCTGACCAGGAACCTCCCTCCCATTGCCAGCTCCCCATTCTCAAACCAATAATCAAATCCACAACCTTGCAGTGTGTGGGATGATGCTTCAACCAACTGAGCCACACCGGCCCATGTGCGTCTCTTCGTATCATGTTAACTGTCTTTCTCTCCCGTTCTCTCTCTGTGTGTCTTCAGGATTGCTTCTATACCGAAAATTTAACGTTCACAACGTAAGTGACTGAGGGGTTTTGCTCTCCCCTCCCTGCAATAAATCCTGCCGTGTTCACACCACCGGCTCATTCCACTGAGTAAAGCCCAAAGCAGGGTCTTCACTCCTGGTTGTATCTGGAAGCCTCTTTTGAACGTGACCTGCCCGCCAGGCCTGGCCTTACACTGGCGTTGGTTCCTGCCTGGCTGTGTGACCCTGTCCGTGGCCACACATGAACTTGAGGAGGTCACACACCTGGTGCAGAAGTGGACAAAGGCTGGACGTGAAGCCAGAACGGGGGGTGGGGGTGGATTTTGTCTGCCTGGGGACCCACGAGGTCAGGACAGTTGCTTATGAGCTCTGGACAGTCATGACGCCAGTGCCACTGGAAACTCCCTGCAGCCACACCCTCCAGCCTGTGTGGTCCCAGGCCCCAACCTCTTCCGACTGCCCCAGCCTGGTGAGGGACTGGCCAGGGCCATTCATTTTGCTCAATTCCCGATCTGGCCTCAACTCCCCAGTGTCTGCCTGGCGTTTGGACCTGCTGGCATAGCCGGTGAGACCCCAGGACTTGCTGCTTTCCGGGGGACACTGTTCGAATTCCTGTCCCCTCATCTCGGGTCTCCCTCCTGGGCGATCCTGCCGGCACCTTGGGAGACAGGGGTCCCCTCACGGGTGCTGGGCCGTGCAGGCTGAGGCGGTGGCGGCCCGTTTGGAGAGGGAGGGTGGATTTCTCCGCAGACCCCACGGGGCTGCTCCCCTGTGGCAAAGTAGGGTGACCTCAGGGGGGCGGGAGGGACGCAGGAAAGACCTGGGATGACATCGCTGCGGTGCTCCCTCCTGCCCTTGGGACTCAGACCAAGTGGGGTGGGCTCACTGCCATTCACGGTGTGACCGCAGGCCAAGACCCCTGTCCTCAGCCGCCTCCTCCAATAGGGGGCGTTAGGTCATTCAGACGCTCCTACTTCTGATATTTTATTCTGGGTGTATGTTCCCGCAGACTTTTTAAAATGCATATTTTTTTTTATTGATTTTAGAGAGGAGGGAGAGGGAGCAAAAGATAGAAACATTGCCGAAACCAGTTTGGCTCCGTGGATAGAGTGTTGGCCTGTGGACTGAAAGGTCCCAGGTTCGATTCCGGTCAAGGGCATGTACCTTGATTGCGGACACATCCCCAGTGGGGGGTGTGCAGGAGGCAGCTGATCGATGGCTCTCTCTCATTCATGTTTCTAACTCTCTATCCCTCTCTCTTCTTCTCTGTAAAAAATCAATAAAATATAAAAAAAGATAGAAACATCAATGATGAGAATCATCGATTGGTTGCCTCCTGCACGCCCCACACTGCGGATGGAGCCTGCAATCTGGGCCTGTGCCCTCACCTGGAATCGAACCCTGGCCTCCTGGTTCACACGTCAACACTCAGCCACCGAGCCATGCCTGCCAGACCCCTCAGGCTTTTTGTTTTGAAAAAAATGTCCAATGTGCAGAGAAGTACAACAAACTCGCAGATGCTCCAATTGTTGTCACGTGACCTCCCCCCTCCCCCCTCCGCCTTCTGCTTTATCGACCTGTTTGCTTCTGCTGAGCCGGAGGGTCAGCAAGAGGGAGTGACCTCTCACCTCTAACCCCGCGTAGCTCCTGAGACCAAGGCCGTTGGTTATACCACGCGCAGTGCCATGACCAAACTGAGGACAGTCACCATTGATGCAGCTGTGACCGAATTCCCAGGCGCCTTCCTCCTGCCCCATCATGCCCTTCCAGCTGCCATTTTTCCTGGCTGGCCTCTAATCCCAGATCAAGCGTTGCGTTTACGAGGCAGGTCCCTCTGGGCTCCTTTGATCCGGAGACCTGGGCCGGAGGCCGGGGGCGGAGGGGGCAGCGGTTGGCGCCACGGGCCAGGTTTCCCGCCTGTAAAGGGCACTTTCACTTTGATACCGTGGGAACGTTCCATGGAGGGTTTCAGCATCTGTCAATGATCCGTGCCTGAATCAGTTACCACGGAGGCGGTGGAACAGGTTTGAGGGTGCTTTGGGAGAAAGAAAAGAGCTTTGTCCTGGTTCCTCAAGGTCCTTCGGCCAAAGGACAGAGCCGTCCCAGGCCCAGTCCTTCCTGGGCCGGTCCTGGCCGCCGTGGAGCCCCTGTCCCCTCAGGAAATCCTGGGAGAGGCTGGGACCGCGGAGAATCCGCCAGGGTCTTCCAGAGTGGAGGAAAGCGAGGCCCCGAGGGAGAGAAGTGGGCGCACAGAGAAGCTCCTCCCAGCAGGCTCTGGGCTCCGGGCCCTCCCACGGACCGGAAAGGAGGCTTTGGCCGACCAGAGCACAGTTTCAGGGTCCAGGTTGGGGCCGTCTGACCCCTGGCAGTCCCTCTGGTCCCCGTTACCTGAGCAGGAGACTTAGGTTGTAAGATTCAGCAAATAAAACACAAGGTTCCTGAGTACATTAGAATTTCAGACAGACAATGAATAATTGGGTGGCATATGCCCCAAAGATTGCACTTAAATATACGTACACCTAACACCCAGCCACCATGCTGTGAGGAAGCCCAAGCAGCCCATAGAAGGGCCCACGTGGGAAGGGACCGAGGCCTCTGACCCTGAGCTCAGCTGAGCTCCCAGCCAGCGGCCAGCGCCAACTTTGCCAACCATGTGAGGGCACCATCTCCAGCCCCAGTTGAGCCCCCCACCTGACAGGAGGTGTGGGGTGGGGCGCAGGAGCAGAGATGTACCACCCATCCTCCTCCCACACTCACAGCCCTGCTCAGAACTCACATTCATGAGCAAATGAACAGATTGTTATTTTTACATCACTAAGGTGTAGTGGTTGGTTACACAATAGTAGTTAACTGGGAAACACCTCATGAAGAAACACTCCGCATTTTACAGATGAGAAACTGAGGCACAGGGGACTGAAACCGTTCACCTGCGGTCTCACAGCCATTGAGTGGGAACTGGTATTTGAAGTCAAACTCTTTTTAAAAAATATATATATATTTTATTGATTTTTTACAGAGAGGAAGAGAGAGGGAT